CTTTAGTTCCAATTAAGTAAGAGTGATGAAACTCGGTGTATAGTTTCATTACATCAATACCTTGACTAAGTTCGATGATGAGCATTTTCTGCTCAGGGTAAGCAGAGCGATAAGCAATTTGATTGGCCGAGACTTTGGAACACAATAACCCTCCTTCTAATTAAGCTTGGATGTTCAGACTTGGTGTAGGGGTTTATGAGGTCAATGCCTTGATGGAGTGCGAAGATCAGCATTTTCTGCTGTGGGTAAGCAGAGATAAGCAATTTGATTGGTTGATGCTTTGGAACACGATAACTTTAGTTCTAATTAAGTGAGAGTGATGAAACTTGGTGTATAGTTTCATTACATCAATACCTTGACTAAGTTCGATGATGAGAATTTTCTGCTTAGACTAACGAGCAATAAACATTTTGATTGGTCAAGACTTTGGAACATAACAACTCTTCTTCTAATTGAGGTAGAATGTTTAAACTTGATGTAGATGTTGACTTGACTGAGTTCAATGATTAACATATCGAGCTAAAGCTAAGCAGAGATAAGCAATTTCCTGCTTTGGGACAAGATAACTTTGATTCTATCTGAAAGAGAGTGATGAAACTTAGTGTATAGTTGATAATCAGTTTGATTGCTGGATACTTTGGAAAAAAAAATAGATGTGCGATTAATTAATGTGTCATCTATTTATTTGGGGATTTCGGCGGGGGACATCAGCCTCACTGTTGGCTTGTTTATTAATATTTTCTATATTGTATTTGTACTGGTTTATTGTTTAATATTATATTATTACCTCTTTTTCTTTGTGAATGGAGGGCCTGGCAAGGACAGCTGTCTAGTCGTTCAGATGGGATGAAAAACCGAGGACCCGTATATACATTGACGTGCACATAAAAGATCCCTTGGCAGTTGGAATTCGATATAAGAGTAGGCCATAGTGCCACTGCCCGGACAAAATGTACCCCATAGCACACTGTATGGCGTATGCCCGTCTTCATTAGCCCAATAGAGCAGAACAGTAGGACGTTAAACCCATTTCATTTTCTTTTTCTTTGTCAATAAATGTATTATTAGTTCTTTGTACTATTTTTGATTGTTAATAAACCAAAGTATTTTCCTTAAAATAACTTGTATGAACGACTAATTTTTACAGCCCTTCATTTATCATATTATTTGACTTCCCTTTGATTGACAGTTTTTTTTTTAAAAAAGACACTCCCTTTTGCTGACACTGTTTACATTTATTAATGACATTGCACAATCCTATTTTGTTTTTTAAAATTTTCATAGACCTTTGAAAAAATATGTAGCGTAATGTCATACCCTTTCATTTTAAACTGTTTCGGTAATCAGTGACGCCAGGTCTGTATATGACAAAGGTAATTAATTTAAATCAATTATTTTTTGTGAAGTATTCTATAGTCAATGACAAAGTTATGTTTCGCATTATACGTAATGAATTTGAAATAATTTACTTTTATAAACCAATCTAAAGCCCCTTTGTCGGGCTGTATGACAAAGCTATATTTCGCTTTATTTAGAATAATTGACTATTCGCTTTATAATGTAATTATTTTGAAATAATTAACTTAAATAACACATTGTAAAGTCACTGGTCGGATCTGTATGATAAAGCTATGTTTCGCTTCATGTGTAATTAATTTAAAATAATTAACTTTTCGCTTTATATGTGATTAATTTAAAATAATTTACTTAGATATCAGATAAATCAGTCTAAAGCCGTCTGCCCTCAATAATACGTAAACGTAGGAAACCAAATCAATCTCGATCGATGTACAATCACGTTAAGCTGCAGCACAAAAGCCAGTTGGAAAACTTCCAGGCATTATTAGTAAATAATTCTAATTCGTCATGGAATATTACTAGAAAATACTATCGAATATTCTCGAACATCAAGCTCGTTTTTTATCAATGAAAGTCATTCACATATAGTCTCGAATGTCATGCCTAACATTTATAAATTCATTCACCATTCGTCACTCCAAACAAATAAAATTTGTTCAAAGGCAACGAGGCCCTTGAAAATAATTATGTAAATGAAATTAGTATCTTTAAAAACAACATATTGTTCAACATCAAATAAAGCTCATATGAATCCGCTTGAATTTTCATAGAAAATTTATCTGGGTTAACCTGGATAAACAAGGCTTGAATTTTCATAGAAAATTTATCTGGGTTAACCTGGATAAACAAGGCTTGTTTATATTTTATCATCCAATCATAAATCACCAAATATCAATGACGTAGACATGACTATATTAGTGGTGCATACATTCCGTGTATTTCAGAATACAAGACCCGCGCTGTATAGAACACATCTAACAGCGACAAATACTTATTTACATTTTTACAATTAATAAGTTAAAACCTAAATCACATTTTATTTGGAAACAAATTAAGTTTTAATCAAATAGACCGAAAATGGGAGAACCCAAGATACCGATTGATGTTCTGAATAACTATGAAGTGGTGAGCGTTGAACAGGTCACTGAACCAATGTTAACGGACTATGTGGAAAAATACGGAAGAGAAATCAGCTACAATCATAAATTAAACCCGATGGTAAGATTGTTTATCTTTTTCTTTATTTATTTATTTTTGACTGTTTACAAACAAAGTGACTCATTTAAATAATATGTGCTTCATGGACAGCAGTGCGCCGATAATTTTTAGTGCGCGAGCTTCAATTTCATCATCACTATAATCATGTGGTTTGTGTTCAGTTCTAATGAATTTTTAATTTTCCAGGAATGAAATGAAAATGGGCGACACTTAACGACACTAAACGACCATAAATTCACTTGGTTGATGGCGTTAGAATAAGGTAAGTTTGCTTTTCTGTTATGGATAACTTGCTTTGAAAGGAAGAACAGCAAACTGAAATACAGCCAGTCTGGAAGAATTGTATTTTAGAAACGTATAAATCTGCCCTCAAACCACTTTGTTGCTTCTTCTTGAGCAATTGCACTGAACGCCTCCCCATTAGTACGCCATTGTTGTTAGAGTCTTTGAGAGCCGGTAGAAAAGGTGGAACGCAAGTCTAGTGAAACCCGATATAATTGTATAGCAGGTTAGTGAAACCCGTGATAGATGCATCGCACATCTAATGACCACGTCTTAGCTGCTTCGCCGGTCTAGTGACACCCTTCATAACTGCATCCCCGGTCTAATGAAACCCGTCATAGCTGCATAGCAGGTCTAGTGAAACCCGTCATAGCTGCTACGCAGATCTAATCGATCAGTATTATTGACCTAATTTAATAAACTATTTGCAAGCTGTCACAGTATACGTTATAGTCTTACAATTAATAATTAATTTCAAGTATTATAATACGAAATTACTGTACCTGACCACATGTGGGTTTGTGTATAAACATCAACTCATCGTCCGTTATTTACATCATGTGAAGAAACCAGGATGATAACCCCCAGCCCTATATTTACAGTGGGGTCACGGTGGCTAAGTGAGTAAGACGCTGGCTCGCTAACCTGGAGATCGTGTGTTCAATCTCTGCATCGGCCGAGAAAGTTCATCGGGACGGAGGGCCTGACAAGGACAGCTGTCTAGTCGTTCGGATGGGATGAAAAACCGAGGACCCGTATATACATTGACGTGCACATAAAAGATCCCTTGTCAGTTGGAATTCGATATAAGAGTAGGCCATAGTGCCACTGCCCGGACAAAATGTACCCCATAGCACACTGTATGGCGTATGCCCGTCTTCATTAGCCCAATAGAGCAGAACAGTAGGACGTTAAACCCATTTCATTTTCTTTTTCTTTGTCAATAAATGTATTATTAGTTCTTTGTACTATTTTTGATTGTTAATAAACCAAAGTATTTTCCTTAAAATAACTTGTATGAACGACTAATTATAACAGCCCTTCATTTATCATATTATTTGACTTCCCTTTGATTGACAGTTTTTTTTTTTAAAAAGACACTCCCTTTTGCTGACATTGTTTACATTTATTAATGACAATGCACAATACTATTTTTTTTTTTAAATTTTCATAGACCTTTGAAAAAATATGTAGCGTAATGTCATACCCTTTCATTTTAAACTGTTTCGGTAATCAGTGACGCCAGGTCTGTATATGACAAAGGTAATTAATTTAAATCAATTATTTTTTGTGAAGTATTCTATAGTCAATGACAAAGTTATGTTTCGCATTATACGTAATGAATTTGAAATAATTTACTTTTATAAACCAATCTAAAGCCCCTTTGTCGGCCTGTATGACAAAGCTATATTTCGCTTTATTTAGAATAATTGACTGTTCGCTTTATAATGTAATTATTTTGAAATAATTAACTTAAATAACACATTGTAAAGTCACTGGTCGGATCTGTATGATAAAGCTATGTTTCGCTTCATGTGTAATTAATTTAAAATAATTAACTTTTCGCTTTATATGTGATTAATTTAAAATAATTTACTTAGATATCAGATAAATCAGTCTAAAGCCGTCTGCCCTCAATAATACGTAAACGTAGGAAACCAAATCAATCTCGATCGATGTACAATCACGTTAAGCTACAGCACCAAAGCCAGTTGGAAAACTTCCAGGCATTATTAGTAAATAAACAAGTGATTCGTCATGGAATATTACTAGAAAATACTATCGAATATTCTCGAACATCAAGCTCGTTTTTTATCAATGAAAGTCATTCACATATAGTCTCGAATGTCATGCCTAACATTTATAAATTCATTCACCATTCGTCACTCCAAACAAATAAAATTTGTTCAAAGGCAACGAGGCCCTTGAAAATAATTATGTAGATGAAATTAGTATCTTTAAAAACAACATATTGTTCAACATCAAATAAAGCTCATATGAATCCGGTTGAATTTTCATAGAAAATTTATCTGGGTTAACCTGGATAAACAAGGCTTGTTTATATTTTATCATCCAATCATAAATCACCAAATATCAATGACGTAGACATGACTATATTAGTGGTGTACACGTTCCGTGTATTTCAGAATACAAGACCCGCGCTGTATAGAACACATCTAACAGCGACAAATACTTATTTACATTTTTACAATTAATAAGTTAAAACCTAAATCACATTTTATTTGGAAACAAATTAAGTTTTAATCAAATAGACCGAAAATGGGAGAACCCAAGATACCGATTGATGTTCTGAATAACTATGAAGTGGTGAGCGTTGAACAGGTCACTGAACCAATGTTAACGGACTATGTGGAAAAATACGGAAGAGAAATCAGCTACAATCATAAATTAAACCCGATGGTAAGATTGTTTATCTTTTTCTTTATTTATTTATTTTTGACTGTTTACAAACAAAGTGACTCATTTAAATAATATGTGCTTCATGGACAGCAGTGCGCCGATAATTTTTAGTGCGCGAGCTTCAATTTCATCATCACTATTATCACGTGGTTTGTGTTCAGTTCTAATGAATTTTTAATTTTCCAGGAATGAAATGAAAGTGGGCGACACTAAACGACCATAAATTAATTTTCCAGGAATGGAATGAAAGTGGGCGACCTATGATACGATAATGATATGATTTGTTACATTGTATTTTTAGTTAGATCAAAATATATGTTTGTTTCCTAACCCACCGTCCGTCATTCGCTGAAACCTGGTTTACTTATTTTATAACTAAAAATACAAATGTTTTAATTTTTGTTTTACATGTAATTAACTTGAATAGAAATGCAGCCAATGGAGCGGAAAATCATGAGTGAGGAGTGGGTTGGGTTGGGGTCGGGGGTACAAAACACATTTATTCGTTCGCTAGGCAATTAACAACCGCATGTTAGAAAAATCGCGGAAAGGGGAAATATAGAAGTGTGTACGTTATACAAATTAAATATACAATAGGTCTATATACGTCGTTATACTTAGAGGATTGCCATTGATGAATTGTCTATTTTTTCTCCTCTTAAAAATCTAAATCTATTTTTGAAGGCTCTGTAATTACTACTATACTGCTTCAAGCGCCCATTGTAAAATAGATAAAACTACTACTACGGCCTCGAGGCTATTTTCTGAATTGATCTTCAGTCAGAGGTAATACAGCCGATGCGTGGACAGTCTCCAATCTTAACGGTCGGGCATTTAATTTTTACATTTCATTAATGGCAATATGGTTACCAGATGTGTGGTATTATTGAAAGGCTAAATTTAAACAAATTAACGGAAATTTATCTTTAATTTTTGGCGAAACGTCATTTCATTTTTGAATATACTCGCACATTTATTGGTTGCGGTGACATTTTGTTTTCTATTTTCACACAACAACCGGATTAGACCGAATAAATCCACGGAAGTTGAATATTTACACAAACAGCTCGTTGAAATTTGTTTAACAGGTTTTGGCGCGTTTTTCTTTTGAGGAAATGTTTACAGATTGACATTACGTAATCGTCGATATAAACTGAAAGATATATTTAAAATACTGCCAATATGAAACTTGGAACATCTGCAAATTGAAAACTCAGCACCATTTTGGTACGGCAGTAACCTAATTGCACACCTTGGAACACATGAAAAATTGGCGGCACACCTAGCTAAATATATATGAAAAATATACACATAGACACATAGAATGACTCAAACTAAATGAAGAAAAACACAGCCATGAACTTACTTTATTGCAGTGTTTTGAATTTCGTCAGTCAAATAGCTGGCTTCTTAAGAGAGATATTATCTTAAGTGTGCCTTTTAAAATTTTACTGGTTGAGAATCGCTGTGTTAAACAGTGACTATATAGGCCATATCATAGATCAATTGTGTCCTATCAATGAATCAACTGTCCCTGGATTTAAAGCTTCCGTGTGCTTGGAGGACCTGTGTTTCGCTAGGGTTAGGATTAGGGTATTGTAAACTGACTATATAACAATAGCCCCGTGTGAGCCTTTTAAGTCCCCATGATGGAGGCTGCAGTTTACCCCCTTATAATAGACCAATTTATTTCGTTATTATTATTACAATCTAGGCAGTAATAAATATTGGATCGTGTGCTGTTTACTATGTGAATTGCAACCGAAGGCTTATTGACATTCTCACATAACCTGCAGCGTCACCTATAAGATATGGGTAGCCATACATTTTTTGACGGGCCTCTTTTTAATCGGATCTAAACCAATTCGAGAGATTATACACCTTTCATATTTTGATTTTTCGTTCTTGATTGAATATTAAACAATCAATCGGAGTATAATCGGTAAAGAAAAATACAAACGGCGACCAGCAACATAAACAAACTTAATAACCATACAGTGGGAGTAAAGTGACTGTAAATCAAAAAACGTAAACAAACTCAACCAATCGATTGAGTGGGCGACCCGAGTCTAAGGTCACCTTCAAACAGTTCAACCGCCAGACGTAAATAATTGGTCTCAGTCAATAATTATATCGTCTGCTAGAGCCTGGTTTCCCGCCACTTTTATTTCACGATTCCATCTGTATTCAGAACACGCAATGGACATATAAAACTCAATACTTTTTCATCACAGGAATCTATGTTGGAATAACGATATGTCTCGCTATAACAAAGATATTGTTGTCATCGAATATAGGCCTATTATATTGTCCGTTCTATTGATCGAGTAGCCTACATGATGGAATAACAATTTGGTCACAACAGGTGCATATCTACAAATCTAATGAGTTCCAGTTTCAGAGGTGTGGTCTTATAGGCGAAATTTAATTCCCTGTTGATCTGTTCGATCTTGCGTGTAGAATCCGATAAGAAATCTTATTTTCACCAGATTGTTTTTACCACGAACCGGTGGGAGAAATCAGTCCGGTTTGTGCCGGTATTTACCTGAGTATTTGTTTTTTTTTTTTTTGTATACCACGCGATACAAAACAGGCTAATTTTACCGACCAACCCTATTGACAAACAATCTAGCTAGCTGTCAATAAAACAGGTTGGCTTTTTGTTTACATGCAGATCTGATAAACATTAGGATTTTCTGTAACAATGATCGAAGCTAAATAAATTGAAAACCAAGACTCCAAAAATAAACTAATCACCTTCTGCTCATCTATTTCTACTTAAGGTTATTACGTTCCAGACCTCGCGCTTGATGACGCAAGTCTTGTTGTCATGGGTGATGCACTATATATCGTTACTAGGGTTAAACTAGGCTGGAAAGATTCAGTTCCAACCAGTTTAGCTATTATCGATCGCGTATTATCAATAACTCTCGCTTCTCTCTGATAGGTCACGTGATATTTACAACTAGAACTTAACGACGGTGGGATTAAATACGATGATAATATCCTTGGCACTATTTCCTCAGTCCCAAAGACTTCTGTCTAAGATTTTAAATCAGTTTCCATGATGAAACATTCCACTAGGAGTTGAAAACTTTCAGTTCTTTAAACTAGATCTTTACACCACACACGTTGATTAAAAAATGAAAGAGAGAACCAAATCTGTGCGAGACTATTTCCAATCTAGGTCACCAAGACTTCCGGTGGTACATGTGAAGCCTACTAACAGCCTACTTGCCTTTGACCGATCGAAAACCTTTTTTTATATTGATTCAGTAGTTAACTTCGAGATATTTCTTAGAATAAACAGCGAATAGTAGGCCGTGATTTATTAATAGGTTATCTCTTAATTTTTTTGCTCAAATTAATTGAAGTGATGAAGACAATCTCTAAAATTACCGGCCAAGTCTTAAGTGCATATCTGGGCCTACATACACCTATCTAGAAATCAAAATGTTAGAAAATGTCAACTCTACCGTTTTCAACCTTTAACAAATATTTTGAATTATGTAAGAGGGTCACGTTGTATTTTGAAACACCACAGACGATCACGACAAATGGATTACATTCTGACGTCATCGATTTAGTTGTCTTTAAAAAGTTAATATGGCCTCCCACACAGAATTTGTGTAAAACTAGTTTTTTTGTGATATCAAGTTGTTCAAGCAGACACTAACATCGCCATTGGCCTTTCAGGATACTAATCGATACGAATAAAGCGATTGATTTAAGCGAAGTTCTAAAATAACTCACGAAGCTAAAATAGAATCTATTATTTTGATGTGATTACTTGAGATTTACTTAGCAGCCGTCAAAGGAATTTAAGCACGGCCATGTTTCATTCTATTAGATGAATAAAGGTTAGATTTCCTCCTTGGATATGAAAAAAATATATTCCAAGGCACCATGTAAACATTGGCGTGCACGTTAAACAACCCTTGACAGTTGGAATTCGATATAAGAGTAGGTTATATAGTGCCGCTGTCCGGCCAAAGTTACCCAATAACACACTGTATGGCGCCTTCATTAGCCCAGTCGGTGCCGAAAAGTAGGACGTTAAATCCTTTCATTTCAGTTCAGTTCAGATACATAAATGAGAGATTTTAATCTACATCTTATTGTAGTAGTGTATATTGTCATATAATTTGCATACGTATTAAAATTTAATTAATAAGATCTAAATTGCGTATGCAAATTATATATAAAAATATACACTACTACATTATTGCTTGCAATGTCCGTGTGTTGTTTGTCTTGTCCGCGGGTTTGTCTTATTAGTTGCTATTTGTCTGTGGTGCGGTTCTCCCGCACTTGTTATTAGTGACAAACAATGCCTCCGCTTTTATTTGATAACAAAACCACGCCTTCATTAGCTCAGCCAGTCGGTGCACAAAAGTAGGATGTTAAACCCCATTTCAGTTCGATTACTAAACTCACTTGCGTCTCAGTATTTAGAAAAATGCATTTGATCAGTCAACAATATATAATACGCTGTCCTTATCTATAATTCCACCATTCTTTTATATCTTTTAAACGCACATAATTTATATATCTTGTAATTGTCAGGGATATCAAGTTAAATAAAGCTATTTCACACTTTCAATCAACTATCCAAGGCTAAATGAAAATCCACGGGAGACATCAGTGTGCTTTTTGAAGATTTAGCCGGTTAATTTTATGTTGGTTTAAAATGGGGGAATAAATGATTAGTCAGACGTCGAGAGCTGAAACAATTCAAGCTCACGTTTCCTCTTTTAACCGATCAGTTCATCATCTAATCAATCGGATTACCTCGAGCTTCCACGGCACTAATGACGTCATTGGTATCGATCACGAAAAGAATGCTGGAATGTTTCCAAAGCTCTCCACGAGCAGACATTCTATTAAAATGAATATCCTATTACTAAATAAGGCATTGTTTAACAACAAAAAGCGATGACGTCATAATGAAATAAAGAAAAGTCAATTGACAGCAAGTTCTATTATTATGAACCATAGTAATACACTGAACGAAATAGAATACCTTTATTTGGGACTAATCTTGAATTTATGTGTGGGCTTGTTTAAACAGTAGACCAGTCATCCTGAAGCCAGTCATTAGAAATACGGCTAAATCTAACTAAGGACTTGAAGAGCCCATGCAAACCCATCTGTTTCAGGGCCCATGCAATAAACCGTCTCTCACAGGGCCCAGACTAACCCTTCTGTGTCGGGCCAATGCAAATTTTCTGTCTATTGGCCCATGCAAATCTGTTTTATTCGATGTTAGGACTATCAATTTTGCACCTACACTCCGACCTTTAAAAAAAACCTCAGGGGGGGGGGGGGGGCTATTAAAATGGGATTGCTTGTCTATCTCTCCCAGGACCATAACTAGCTCAAAGCAACGAGGGGGACCCCTGCGCCCCCCTAGTTACGGGCCTGGTCTCATCATATATTTAGAAACAGAATTATAACATCGCCAATTCAGAGACCTCTGTTGAAATCCGCCATTTTAATTTTGTATATTTTTTCTATATCTGTAGATACAAGTAGAAGATACTGATGAATATAATAGTAATGATTCTACTCTTAGCCAAGAAGAGGAGCGGGCCAACTGGGGAGGCAAGATGGAGTTCCTTCTCACCTGTATTGGATATGCTGTTGGCCTGGGCAACGTCTGGCGGTTTCCCTACCTGTGTTATAAAAATGGCGGAGGTGCGTTGTATTCTTAGTATTAGTAATTTACAAAAATTAAACCAAGTCCAGCCTTTGCTTGGAGTTCAAGCATTCTATACTGTGGCACTCTACAAAGCCCCCAATTTCTCAAAAACAACGTTTAAAAACTCTAATTCTTAAATGAGTACGCTTGTCCAACTTCGTGGGTTTCTTCCCACTGCTAAAGACCCCTACGCGCGAGCGAATTATTGAAATAAAATTGAACCATATATTAGTCCCGAAATGACCTAGATAGAATTTTCAAACGAAGACGAGGTTATTTTACTATTTGTCTATATACGGGTAAACTTCTTTGGGACACCATACTACCATATATGGTGGTCATGACGACCATATACGTTTCTCACAAATTCCCAGAATTCATTCAAATAAACTGCTCAAAACATGAATCAACACGTCTGTAGTATAGAACGTGTTGGATTTCAACATAAGAATAATAAACAATAACCTCATTCAAAAATCAAAACAATACATGCACTTCGTCACAATGACTACGTATCTCGCAAATTCCACAACGTCATTCAAATCAAAATGTCAAAAGACATGAATCAACAGATTTGAAATAAAGCGATTGGATATTAACATAAGGACAATGACTGTTAGCCCCCATTCAAAAACCAGACGTTAGACACGAGGAATGATTTAAATAAAGAAAATGCATATTGATAAAGAGTACTGAAACTGAATATTGATATAGGGTAGTGAAGCCCTTCTTTGTAATGTAGGCTATATATAGATAATAATCTCATTCAAAAATCAAAGGCATATTATGAATAATAATATACAGTAGATAAAGGCTTTGGTTATTCGGTCACAGCTCCTGATTTTCCCACATGACTTTGTGTATATTGCTACCACTCCCTCGGGATGATTTGCTTTTTTATTATTAGACATGATGTATTTGTACATATATCCTTGTTGGTTGTTATTGTTATTATCTAGTAATCGTTATTAAATATCGGTGATACGACAAAATGCACAGAATTAGGTCGATTTAGTTTGATTGGATGACGGACGAACGTCCTGGTACTGCAGTATTTAGACGGAAGTTAGGCTTATCTTGGTTATTGAGTGTGCCATGATCAAGAGTCGGTGTTTTATCTCGTATTTACGATTACATATTTTTAAAGGGACAATGAAGGAAAATGAAACGAAATGAAATGGATTTTAAGGTCCTACTTTTCTGCACCAACCGGGTTAATTAAGTGGCAAAGAAGGGAGTTTCAGGGTATATTTGTCGCTGCAAATGATATACTGGACCATTGTTGATGTAGTAAAGTTAGACGCCAACCCCCCATTTTGTCCCCTTAAGTAACGGTCTAGGCCTGACAAATCGTGATTAATGGCGGACATCCTGGTCTGACTTCCACCAATGATAGCATGTAATAAATGATTACTTTCCCCATACTTGTAAGTTAAACACATCGATATCAGTAACTAACTACCATAATTGACGAATAATTATTTCCCTATTGGATTTTTTCTCTCAAAAACACAACAAAACAAAACAATAATTGTTTCCTCTTCCATTCATTCTACGTAAAGAGAATTCCCCGTGATATTCCTTTTAAAAAAATCATCCTTATTTTTGTGTTATTCGCTTGTTCCGTTTTCAGTTATTGTATAAAGTTAAAAGTACATCTCAAAATTTATGATTTGGGAAATCTTTGCTTTCCTCGTAGGGGTTGGATGGCCGAATGGTTAGCACGTGCGCGCTGTATCATAAGGCCTGTCATTGAGTCAACTGGCGTGGTTTCAAATCCCCGGTTGTACGTGACCAGGAGTAGGGTCGCCTGTCGAACTCGTGGGTTTTCTCCGGGTCCTCCGGTTTCCTCCCATTGCTAGAGATCTCTACATGATTTCCATAACAGCGTAAAATGAATTTAGCGATCCTTTACGAACGACTCAGACCAGATATTTGGGTTATTTTGACGCTTAATTTCTATTGTTTCACCCATTTTAAACAACGGATGGGGCTCCTTCTCTAAACCAACAGATAGATACCCCGTGAAGTGGGACCTCTCCTTTAAACTGTGAGGCCACTCCTTGAAACAACAGACCTGCTGTGAACTACAGAACCGCTTCTTAAAACAGACACCCTGTAAATTATAGGACCTTATCTTTAATGTGAAGATCATTAATTTTAGATAATACCGTATTTATGTTACTAACTGCATCAGATAATACCATATTTAGGTTAATAACTGTAACATCTGCAGGTCTTTAATTACTTATTTTAATATTACAATATCAAGCAGTGCGTGGAACGAATATTTAAGACATTAATCAGGTTTCCGCATAATTTATCCTAGTATATCATTAACTGTATTAAATGGTGGGTATCATGCAATTAACATGTTGTGCTTACTTCTATATTCATTGAGTCAATTGGCATGGTTTCGATCCACCGGTTGTACGTGGCAAGGAGTAGGGTCGCCTGTCTAACCTCGTGGGTTTTCTCCGGGTCCTCCAGTTTCCTCTCACGGCTAAAGACCCCTACGCGCCACCCCGTTACATAACAAAAAAAGAACTCCGATAGTAAATTAAACTGTTATTATTCGTTTCATTTAGAATATAGACATATATACATTATATTCTGACATTAATCCGGATTTAAAGCTTTTTAAGTTAGCAGATGTTGAATTAATCTTATATATTAATTTTATGAATAAGTCGACATAAAGAAATGATTATCTTTATCTCCATTAATACTAGGGTATTGCGTAAATTAAAACAGGATTCATAGAGTTCTGACATTAATCCGAATTGATTAAAAAATGATTTCATCGTGTTTTTAGGATTTACTGATTTCCTATAAAATTATCTTCAGTTACGTATATAAATGAAAAAAATGGGGATTAGCGTCCTACTGTTCTGCACCAACCGGGATTATGAAAATGGGGGAGGTCAACACTGAAAATGAGTCGAATAACAAAATGTTATGTCAAATTCAAATGCACTTACCAGTACTAATGAACCGAATCAACGTTTCAAGAAAATCCTATAACATCAATGTTAAAGTTCCCCTTTAACAACAACGTTGAAAGCCCCTCTATTACGCCAATGTTAAAGTTCCCCTATAACAACAACGTTAACGCCCCCCTATAACAACGACGTTACCCCCCCCCCCCCATTGCGTCAATGTTAAAGCCCCCCCCCCCACCATAACATCAGTGTTAAAACTTGCGTATAACATCATTATTATAGTATTCCTATGTTTATTTGCAGGTGCCTTTTTGATACCATATATCATCATGTTAGCTGTTGTTGGATTACCCTTGTTTTTCATGGAACTAGCTTTCGGCCAATATGCTAGTTTAGGACCAATTGCTATATGGTCCATCAACCCTATGTTTAAAGGTACGTACCAAGTTTACCATTCTGGTCACAGCGTAAACCATTCAGAACAGGCGCAATAACACTATATAGAATTTACATCGTGATCGGTTGCCATAGCTTAAGAACTTTTATGGGTAATATAGTTTTTATAATAAGATTAAATGAGCCATGCCGTATTCAAGATCTCAGAGTTTATGATGGTGCCGATACTCGAAGTTTCGATTGAAATATTATTATATGTTTTATTAGTAATATATGTGCAAACATAAGAAATATATATATTCGAATAGTCAATGCAAAATTCTAGAAACTGGATAAATTATAAAAAGTTGAATCAATAGTTTATTTATTTATTTATTGCAGGTTTGGGGTATGGAATGGTTATAGCTTCATGGTTGATTAGTTTATATTATAACGTCATCATTGCTCACACGCTATTCTATCTCGCATCCTCCTTCACGAGTGAGCTCCCTTGGATCACCTGTAACAATACATGGAACACAGATAATTGTTTACCGTATGAATTTACATTAACTGATGAAGAACGTAAGAACATATTTCAATCTCTCTATATAAATAGATATATTTGTGCCTGTCGTTCAAGGTTGGCGGCTCGAGCCAGAGTGTGACATAGGCCTGGTGTCGTTGCACTTCCACTTCCGGACTCGGGTTGTATTAGCACTTCCGGTTTCGGAGTTATACCACTTCAGGTTTCATGATATTCCCTTTTCAATATCTGGATTTTAACTATTATAGCGAGAACTGTCAGCTTTTTCTCTAAATCTTAAATAATGCATCTTTAACTATATTTTGTCACTGATTGAATTTTAATTTAATGGAACAAATTCAATGATTTAATACTATTTTATTAGAAACATTTTCAGATCAATGCAGTGTAATTTGCTAAACCTGTATGAAACTAGTTGTAATAATTAATTCACGATCTATTCTATTTGTAGGTGTGAACTACACTGCTGCACATGCTCACAACGGTACCATGAACACGCCCAGTGAGGAATATTACAAGTAAGTATTCTAAACAGTTAAACACAGCATGCTTACTCTTTCTAGAACACCTGATACCACCTTGCGTTTAAAAGACACTTTGCATGGCTTACCTAGAAATTTTCGTTGTGCTTTTGTGTTGTTTGCCGCAGAAGTTGACTGGTACCTGCAATACTGAAAGCGAAAAAAGACTAATCGTTTGGAAGGAACGAAAAACATAGCATAACGAAAAATGTTTCATTATTATTATTATTATTATCATTATTATTATAGGTACTATGTACTAGAACAAAGTGAGCATATCAATGAATTTGGTTCAGTGAGTTGGAAATTAGCACTGTGTCTATTAGCGTCCTGGGTAATCGTGGGTATATGTTTGTTACGAGGTATCCAGTCTCTTGGAAAGGTAAGTAACTATTGCCTGTTATGACATATCTACTTCAATATGACAAACGTTTATTAATATATCAAGTTAACAAACAATCAGAACTCGTGAGTATGGAAAACCATCATGGCAAGCACATGGATTGCACGGATACATGTTGCCGGTGCCCAGTTATTTTGCTCCCTGAACAAGTCCAGGATAGAGTAGGGAATATAATGTAGACTATCTTAAATCTATTATACGAAGCTGTTGCCACCATAGGTCCATAGGCTAATGTACGCCGGGGAGGTCTGCGCTCTTGGCGGCAACCTAATTGATTACATGATATACTATTCAAAAAAAGGAGGGGATATTTGATTTTTAAGTGTTATTAAAGTCACCTAATGAAACTGACGAAGAAACAAATGACAAAATGAAATGAAGTTCACATTCATCGATTTATTCCAAATGATCGTTAGACTAAGTAAGGACAGACTGACCATTATAAGGGTAAAATGATACCCGGGGTCAAACAGCAAAGTTACCACAGCATCACAACCAAGTCAGTAACGGGTAAATCCTCCTCTGTTTGCCAAACAAGCATTGATCCGACGTGGCATACTCCTAATGAGACGTCTAAGGTAATTTTGGTCCAGATTGTCCCATTCCTGTTGCAACGCAGCAGCAAGTTCTTGGACATTGGCAGGACGTTGTTGACGTTGACGTAACCTCTGTCCAAGCATGTCCCAGACATGCTCGATGGGGGAGAGGTCGGGACTCAGTGCTGGCCAAGGTAATGTGGTGATGTTCTGTTGTTGGAGGTAACCTGTAACGATCCTGGCCCTGTGACATCTTGCGTTGTCATCCTGGAAGATGAAACGGCGGCCATGACGTCGTGCGAACGGCACAACATGGACTGCCAAGATGTTGTCCCGGTAGTACTGGCCTGTAACACGCCCTGCAACAACATGTAAAGCCGTTCTTCCAGCAACAGTGATGCCTCCCCACACCATAACAGAACCACCCCCAAATCGATCATGTCTGATGACGTTAACGTCTTGGAAGCGCTCGTTTCGACGACGCCACACCCTCCTACGTCTGTCCAAAAAATCAACAGTGAACCTTGACTCATCTGAAAACATCACATTGCTCCAGCGTCGATTATCCCAGTGTTGACGATCCCTACACCCACGACGTCTTGCCTGAATGTGATGATCTCTCAAACAAGGGATCACGCGAGGACGTCGGGCGCGAAGGTGACCCCTATGCAGTCGATTCCGAATCGTCTGGCAACTCACTCTCACACCAGTGTCTGTTTGAAGACGAGCGCTGATCTGATTTGCTGTGATGACACGATTTCTCAAGGCCAAGGTACGGATAAATCGATCCTGGGCTTGAGTTGTCGCCCTTGGTCGACCTGAGCGTGGTCTGTCCTGTACAGATTGTGTATCACGGTATCTGGACCATAGCCTGCTTATGACAGACTGAGAAACATTCATCGTCCGCGCCACAACCGCCTGTGTTGTGCCGATCTGTAGCATGCCAAGGGCACGTAACCTTTCATTTTGGGTAAGCCGACGCATATCAAAATTTGTTTTCTGGTCACTAAAACAATTAAACTGATGTTTCCACCCTGGAATTCAATGCCACAATGACTGTAACATTCAAAGTCAGAGTCGTGCAAATCTTGGGTTGGACCCCCATGATGATCCCAAGCATCACCTGCATTCCATGCGGTAGCTATTGGTGCGTTTGGGCGTCACATGTAACTGGAAATGTTTCTTCTGTTAGGTTCTGTAGTGACTTTTTTCGTAGTCATTTGCATATTTTAGTATTATGCCCCCAAAATCAAATATCCCCTACTTTTTTTGAATAGTATACCTTTGTTGAGAATATTCAGATTGTGACGAATAGAGCCACAGGGGATTTGAGCAGATTCCTCAGAAACTGATTCATAAGGAACCGGAATGAGGTTTCGGTGGGTTTCTATTTGGTCAAACACACTAACATGGTTACCAAACGACAGCAATTTTTTTAAAAAAAAATAATTTATTCACGTTATTTTTTTTCCAGGTTGTGTATTTTACTGCTATTTTCCCCTATGTCATGTTAACTATTTTAATGATCCGTGGTGTAACTTTGGACGGTGCTGTAGATGGTATTATCTATTATCTGAAACCAGACTTCAGTCGACTCAGTGATCCACGAGTAAGTTTCCGTAATTCTTTAAATTATGATTCTTATTGGACCTAAACGTCTTTGATTTTATATCCAAAATGATATGTTGAATTCCGATATGAAATCAAATGGGGTTTTACGTCCGAAATTCCTGTATCAACCGGAATGACGACGGGTGTTATGCAGTATGAGGCGTTGGCGCCAAGTCATCTTAACGCCCGCTTCCACCGATGGTGATATCGCAGACACGTTGTCTAATTGTATTATGCTTAGCGCACGCGTAGGGGTCTTTCCTGTGGGAGGAAACCAGAGTACCTGGAGTAAACCCACGAGGCTTAGAAGGCGTCCCTATCTCCAAGCCACATACGCTCACACCAGGGATCGAAATAACGCTCGCAAGTCAGAGGTGACCGACCAATTAGGGCTTGAAACGCGACACTCTAGACCAGCTGCCCATCCCAACCTCCTATTTCTTCAAATCAGTAGAACTTGTTTATTTTGTAGGTATGGAGTGATGCAGCTACCCAGATATTTTACTCCTTGAGTGCCTGTAGTGGTGGTTTAATAGCGATGTCATCTTATAACAAGTTCAACAATAACTGTCTCAAGGACTCACTCATCGTCGCCGTCATCAATTGTGCTACCAGCATCTTCGCTGGTTTTGTCATCTTCTCTATCCTTGGTTTTATGGCACACGAGAAAGGTGTTGAAGTTTCTAAAGTTGCTGCAGGTGGTAAGTAACTATAACATTAAAGTCCCGATCTGTCATTTGCATTTTCCGCTAAAATATCAAATTTCTCACTTTTTATTCCAAGCTAAAATGTACTCAGATTGACTATTTAACATTTAATTGAATCAAAGCCACGAGATTAAATACAGTTGATATTTGTGGTTTGTTTTCTCTATAATATATTATCAATTTGATGCATTGTATATGTCTATTAATAGCAGTGCAGGAGGACCGCACTACACACAAACAAAACTATTTGTATTGTGTTTATCCTACTTTCATTTTCTTCCTATAGGACTTGGTTTAGCCTTTAATTATTGACTAGTGTTGTGCTTGTCTTACTTTCATTTTCTTTCCACAGGACCTGGTTTGGCCTTTATTGTCTACCCAGAAGCTATAGCAAGGATGCCTGTTTCGCCGTTATGGGCCGTTTTCTTCTTTTTAATGATGGCCACGTTAGGATTTGGATCGCAGGTAGGTCACATCTTGTTTTAAATATAGACCAACTAATAAACAAAAAATAAAATCGTGGATCATGAACGACAGTCAAACGAACGTTAGTAGATGGGGAGTTTAGGAGTGTGAGGAGGGGGCAACTGGGGCAGGGGGAGTTGTCCTATTTCATGTTATTTTAAACTGATTCAAACTCTGTCGATTTCATTTGTTCTTTAACGATCATTTTTATCAAAAGGTTCCCCAAGGGTGTGGTTCCCAAGGGTGTGGCTACATTATTTGACCCCCAAAGCTTACTCAACTGTATTGTGGGGAGTGAGTGTCAAAACCAACTATGTTGTTATCGTCTTCAGTGGAGCTGTTCCATAACGGAAGAAATTATGGACCCCCCCCCCCCCCCACGTTCCCCCAATTCAATAGGAACTTAATTCTTAAGTTATGATTCTACCTGGGATATTACCAGCACATTAGTTGTTGGCCCTAGACAGCTCTAGTCTTTGTAGTGGACCCAAGAATCTTACGTGATGATAAACTACAGTCCTTCCGGGATTAAGAGGTCCCGGATCTTTTGTGGTTTTATTGTAGATCCGCCCCTGAATGTGGATGAGAGTGTTCCAATAATCCGTAGAAGATAATCAAGTTAAAAATAAATCAATTCGTCATTCTATATAATTTTATTTGATTATTTATTTCAGTTTTCTATAGTTGAATGTGTATTAAGTGCTTTGACTGACGAGTTCCCCAGATATCTGAGAACCAGAAAGGGATCATACACATTCCGTATTGCTATCATGGCCTCCTCGTTTTTATTGGGTCTCCCTATGGTCTGTAAGGTGAGTACTTATTTTACTATATGTTCCGTGTTGAACCAGAACAGTCATTAGTTTACTAATACCTTTTAACAAACCTTGTTATAAATTAATATTTTCATTCGGACCCTTCTGCTTAATGGGTTTATTAAACAATCTTGATAAAATACCTATTTTCCAAGTCGACTTCTACATTTTAGACAGCTAAAAGTTTCGTTTCTGTTCTTGATTTCCCAGTCTTGTTTCCATTTGTAAGCACGCTAAAGATCCCCAAATTCAGACGTAGCACGCTGTCAGAACCAAATGTCTTTCGTAGCACATTGATTGCCATTTCTAAGCACGCTAAAGATCCCCGAATTAAGCCGTAGCACGCTGTCAGAACAAAATATCCATCAACTGCATGCCATTTGCCAGGTCGGTGGGGAGAGGCAAGACGTTATTTTCATTGTTTTGATCATGTTCTGTACCCGTGTATCGTCACTATATTGAAAATGAATTAATAATTATATTTTATTTTATTCTAGGGTGGAATATATTTGTTAAATTTGGTAGATTATAGTGTTGGAGGTTTTCCACTACTCGTTGTCGGCTTCCTGGAACTCGTCGTTTTAAATTGGATCTATGGTTACGATAAATTCTCAGAAAACATAGAAATGATGATTGGGTCTAAACCATCGATTTATTGGCATATATGTTGGAAATACGTCTCACCCATCACTGTCTTTGTAAGTATAATATACAGATTATATTTTTTTTATTACGCGTGTCGATTAAAGGGAGGTAACTCGGACAATGTTACTAGGACTTCGACCAGCAATACTGTACTCTAGTATTTTGTTTGAACTTTCCGACGATCTTAATCATTATAAGCGATAAAGAATCCACCATCTGATAAAACTGGTCTACAGACCGTGACGTAGGTGCCCCCCCCCTCTATTTATCCGCATCTTTCTGCCACAACATTGTGACTATTCACCAAAACATAGAAATAAATGTATGTAAATACAAAACGATATCTTTAAATCTAGGCCGACAAGTTAGGAAAAATTGCCACACGATAGGGGGGAAAGCAGAATTACTGTAATTAAACTACATTATGCAAGAGCTAAATCTGTCTATTTCAGGTCTTTCTTTAGGCCTGAAATTTTATCTAAATTATTAATTAGACATTAATTAACTAGCCCCCCGCCCCTATTTTAATTATAAAACCGATATTAAACATGAATTATGCAAGAGCTAAGTCTTTAGGCCTGAAATTGTTAATTAATTAACTTATCCAGACCATAATTAACTCTCGGTGTCATCGCTAGCCTGCGATATTTACTGGATTACATCCGATTTGCTGCTCAACTTTCATTCATGAATTAATCATGAAATTATCGTAAGACTTTAGTAATGATGATCGAGGCTAGGCCCAAAATTCAATAGCTACATACTCAGTTCAGGGTGGATCTATTTGACTGAAATTTTCAACAAATTCCCTTTACATTATCTAGTTTTTAACTATTATAGTGAGAACTACCAGCTTTTTATCTAATCTCCCATAATGTATCGTTAATAGTCGAACTACATTCACGTGGTAATAAGCCATATTCTGGGGTTGTATAAATTTGACGGTTTGCTTTAGGTACATGTATTGTATTCTTTTTACAGGTAACCATTTTGTGTAATATCATCTTGTACAAAGAACCCACATTTGATGATGCACCCTATCCAGCCTGGGGTATTGTTCTCGGTTGGTTGATCTCTTCATTCCCTATTGTAGTTATACCAGCTTGGGCTCTGTATAAATACTGTTCAGATGGCGGATTACAGGTAAGCTTACCGTGGTTACATTGTATGTCAACTGACTCAACTCCTCCAAAATGAATTGCAATATTAATAAACGACATATTCTCTTCAATACACCACTCGCCACAACCCGACAACAACAAAAATAGCCCCACCCCTCCAAACAAAGCAACAACCAAAAATGTCCATCTTTTCTTATGGCACAGAAAACCAAAACACAGACCAGTGGATGTAAAAGACCCCCTTTTAAACGTTTTATTAAGAATTTGGCCCAGTGAAGGAACAAAAACAGTTTTCCGGTTTATTTTTCAAAATTCTTATAATTTATTTATATTATTTATTTTTTCATTTCAGTTATTGAAAGTAAGAATGCGACCTACTGATGATTGGGGACCAATGTCTCAACGTAATAACGTAAATATAGAACTTCCGGTTTACAATAAGAAACCGGAAGTCTCGCATGCAGGGTTCTCACATCTGATCAGCAGTACCTCGACAGTTAACACAGTCGACACACCACTCGGTTCAACCATGTCCGTAGCTGTCTTAAATAATCCGAAATCAACCAACATGTTAAATCTTTACAAAGACGCCCCCGGTAACAAAGTTTAATACAGAAATCCATTTAAACGTACTATTTGTTAATGAGAATTCCGGGAATCTTGGATTTTGATATGGCCTCCCAACGATCATCCCTATTGAGGAGTTGTTTTATGTTTTCGAGCAATGTCCATGAACGGAAATGGAAGACCCTCCCCGGTGACTTTAAACTAAATGTCATTTCATGTCTCCGGTGGTGACATTTTCACGTTGTTATTTAACTGTTGTTATTAGCTGGATATCACGTGGGTTGGAAAATGCCGAAGAATACACAATCCTGTCGCCATTAGTATCATCAAACGGTTAAATACTCGGTTGTCAATCCAGCCCTAAATGCGTTTGTTCATATCTGTTAACTTTAGCCGAAGATGCATATTGGCAACTATCTTCTAGAATTAAGGTTGTGTTTTCCACAAGACCAGAAATAGAAGTTAATTTGATGTCCGATCCCCATGCTTCATTAATGAACCTCATGCAAATATCGATCAAAACTATCTGCCCATATATGGACATATCTAGTCTAGCCAGTGACGACATATACACGTCACATTATCACTGCCGAAAGTTTTACAAGGGGCATTTACTGGTTATCTTGTGTTTCCAAAATTTGAGTTCTCAGGAAAAATGAAGAATACGATTAATGAAGCTATTTAAAACATATTTAAATATTATTATATTGTTTACATTCAAAAGTAACTGTGATAGGGTGATTATATTGTACTCGACCAATCAAAATGCAAATAACATCATTTATCGTATTACTTACTTTGATTTACGTGGACTCGATTAACAAGTGATTTAATTTGAATAAGGATACAACATACTAAATATGCTATTTTTCTTTCACATTTAAATAGGCATTATCACTTTCACCTACAAAATAAATTTGTATAAAATCTTGTTAAAATTAATTTCCAATAATGTGTCATTGTTATGAATTGTTCAAACAATGATTTACATTCGACCATAAAATGTCTATATGGCAGCAAGAGATTAACAGATCAGTCTAAATATTTGTTTGTGATATTTGTACCGGGGACTGGATCCCAAGCCTACCTGCCTTGTTCATCATGATGTTCGTCTTGGGGGCGACTCCCAATTAATTCAAGTACGATCGACATGATGCTTGTTCCTTGGACAATTGCGCATTGATTCCAAGATGGCTGTGATGACTTCATTCTCGGTTCCTGGTCCATAGGACATTCGTACATGTACTTGTTTTTTTTTTCGGTTAGCAAAGAAAGTGATAGTTCCTCTTTAAGAACTGTAAATATATACTGAAGTCCAAAAGAAAGTATACACACTAAAAATATGACTAAGTTTTGTTAAATCAAAAAAATGTGATAAAACTACACTGAACACGTCTCGTGCGTCCAAACTCAATATTTCTAAGCAAATAAACGGCAAAACAAATGGACATTGTACCCAAATACCGCATACAATGGAAAAACGACTTTGTTAGAAACAGGACGAAATGAACAGTGTATACTTTCTTTTGGACTTCAGTATATGTATGTACATACATATGTATATGTATGTATGTTATAGTTCCCCTATAAGACATGTAAATGTATATATATATATATATGTTATAGACAATATCAATGCAATATGTAATTGTGATATTATGTACATTTCATTGTAAAAAAATTCATTTATTTCAAGTAATTCTACATGTCCAAGATGGACGCCCAAAATTGTCATCATAAGAATCACAAAAATAAATTGAAAAATGGCAACAAATTTATCACACAATACTTTAAACTGGCTATTAGATAGTGTATATTACATACAATGAGTTTTATTTAAAATAAATTTGATGTGAATGTTATGTTCTAAACATATTAAATTGTACATACCTTCATTACATATTTCCAATTGGTTCAGAAGTATTGTTAAATGTTAGCAAATTCGTTTCGTTTTTTTGTTTAAAAAACCTCCAGTAATTTTTACTGTGTATAAATTGTAAAATAAACGGTACTTGTGGGTTGTGTAAAATGAATTTATGCACATGATGTAATATATCTGTCCAGATGATCATGACTACAGATCAAACAACTCCGGCAGTGTCTGGGTAATGTGGATCATATGTCTGTTTGTGATCTATTCATATTACACAGTTTGTATGAAATATTACACATGACAGTTTGTGTGAAATATTTATATTACTTTTTATGATATATTTATATTGCACATGACAGTATGTAATTTGTAAAAGACATATGGTCGAATCTGTTACCAGAGTAGTTGGGGAGGACTTTTCATGAGACCTTTTCCTGATGCATGCATTTTCCATTCGGAAATGACGTCTCGAACCTGTCTAATCTCCTCCCCAACCGGCCTCAAAATAGACAATACCAAGATATTTATTAGGCATCTGGTTCGTAGCACTGTATATAAACATAAGTTCACGTCACAGTGTTTAGAACACAACGTTGTATGTAAACAAATTCACGTCATAGTGTTTAGAACACGGCGTTGTATGTAAACAAATTCACGTTAAAATACGACGTTGTATGTGAACAAATTCACGTTACAATACGACGTTGTATGTAAACAAATTAACGTTACAATATGACGTATGTCAACAAATTCACGTTACAATACGACGTTGTATGTAAACAAATTCACGTTACAATATGACATTGTATATGAACAAATTCACGTTACAATACGACGTTGTATGTAAACAAATTCACGTTAAAATACGACGTTGTATGTAAACAAATTCACGTTACAATACGACGTTGTATATGAACAAATTCACGTTACAATACGACGTTGTATGTGAACAAATTCACGCTACAATACGACGTTGTATGTAAACAAATTCACGTAACAATATGACGTTGTATGTAAACAAGTTCACGTTACAATATGACGTTGTATATGAACAAATTCACTCCAGAAGTGTGTTTAGAATGTAAATAGTATCAAGGATCAAATTTAAAATGAAATTTTTTATATCTTAGATTGTATATAATATATATAAACGTGTGTATAGAACCTTATGACGTAGTCGTGTATATAGAATTTGTTAAGTTGTAAATAAATGCGTTATACTTGATAGAAACATAGCCCAGAACATTTATTACACGCAATATGGTAATTATATTTTTTAAATGAGTTGTTAATTTGTGCTGCGAAAATAAGGTGCTTTGACCATACTAGTAAACGGATGCCAGTTGAAATTTCATCATTGACATTTTAAAATTTGCAATTCAAAAATCAAGTTTGAAAAATAATTGTAATGAATGTGTTCGAATGAATGGTTGTATGTATTCGGAAACTAGATACAAAATCTAAACCTTATTTAGTGAGAGTGTTGTTTACGATAACTCCTGGCATAGAAGTGGACTTAATCCATATTCAATGAAAAATTGGTTCGCGGTAACATCCTTTATGGAAGCTGGCGTAAGTCATATTCAATGATATGCGATTACCTCCTTTTTGGAAGTGGACGTAAACTTTCATGGGTCTGTCAATGGGGTTGTATCTTGATCAAGCATGTAACTTCAGTCTTTGACTAATTTTAAAAAATAAAGACCAATTTATAAATGTGTGGTATTTTGAAATAGATTGTACTGAATGTGTTTTGATTGACAATTTGTAATTTAGAACCTATTTTTGTTATGGAATAAATTTGAATTTTATTGTTAAACTAAATCTAGAAAGATGTGTGGACTGGTTACATATTATTATAGAAATAAATCACGTTTTATAAAATATTGTTTTGTGTCTTATATTTTTATAAAAAAAAGAAGGAGAGAAGAAGATTAACGTGACCTCGACATAAATTAAGTTTTTCGGGTCTAATATGTGGCACATATTGCTTGGGCGTCGAAGTCCTTATCAGTTGTGTGTGTGTGTGGGGGGGGGGGGGGTCTAAGGGTTGCCAGAAAACCAGGTCATGCAAGCGGCCCTACACATTGTGAAAATTTGGGATGAAAATCCCACCTGACACGCGTTAGACCACCGGGCTGAAATTGAGCTTTCATAGGCAATTACAATCACCTATCTTGTGACAATTGACCCTAACGTAACATGTGTTGCTTGGTTGTCAATCCAAAGTTTCAGTTCATTTAACAGGGTAGACGGATGTTCACTTTCTAGAGATCTTATAAAATAGAGCTTAACGTTTTAGTTAAATGCACCAACCCGTGAATCATGTCGATTTCCGACTGTCGGGGGATCTTTAACGCACTGTCAATAGTATACATGTGACCTCGGTTTTTAGTCCCATCGGAGCGACTAGAAGCCTTTCCTTGCCCCGTCTCCCTTCCCTGCTCCAGCCTAAAATACACGAGGAATTTTTCTCGACCAAAAGCAGAGATCAAACCCGTAATTGCCCGTACTAGACAACAGTACACATTACAGACAGACGAACAAGCTAAAGGGAGTGACAGGGCTCTTTATGACATGGTATCATTAAAGATACATTATGTAAAAGCTAAATCTGCCTAGTGCAGGTCTTTCTTTAGGTCTTAAATTTTGTTAATAACAAATTTATTAACTTGCCAAGACCATAATCAACTCCCGAAACCATCGGATGCTCGACATTTTCAACGGATTTAAATACGATTTGGCGATTAATAATTTAATTAAGAAATGGAAATCGAAATTTCAAAGATCATACTCAACCCTCGATGCCATCGGATGCTCGACATTTTCAACGGATTTAAATACGATTTGGCTATTAATGATTTAATTAATCATTAATCGTTCAGATATGCTCTTTTCATTATCTAGTTTTCAACTATTAAAACGAGAACCGCCAGCATTTTTTTTTATCTAAATCTAACATAACATATCTTTAAGGAAGTAAGGGGATAGAATGGAATCGGGTGTCTATTCCCGGATACAGAATACTTCGGTTATGTTGAGACTAGCAGTAAAGGGGTGGGGTTGGGGGCATCCGGGGTTTAGCGTTTAAGCCTACTCTTATTGAATTTCAAACTGTCAATGGCACTTTTACGTGTACGTCAATATATACCCGATTGTGCCCCTCTTTTGGTCTTATCAGAACAAAATGGTAGAAGACAGAAAGGGGGATTAACGACCACTCGATACAAACAAGGTCATTTCGGACTAAAATGTTAATACTTTACTACAATCCTTTTAATACTGTTTCGTTTTATTTGTTCGCTTTATTTACACCACGGTTAGGACTTTAACAGATATACTGTCCACGTTGATTACAGAAGGCGGACATCCGTTTTTATTAATGATGAATAAAAATTCACACCATTCGTACTACTTACATAGCAACGAGCTATCTAAGAATCTGCGTTTACAATAAATCTTGCTGAAAACTCGGTGACAGTCTGTGATTAATCTGACCATCTAATTATTATTACTAATATGAAAAACCTTCTTACTTGATAATAATTATTGATATACCTTACATTCATGCCAGAATCACGTTTAATTATGGGGATCACGTGGCTAAGTGGGTAAGACGCTAGCTCGCTAGCCTGGAGGTCGGGTGTTCGATCCCTGCATTGGCCGAGAAAGTTCATCCAGATTTTCCGGCGTGGTTCTCCCTTGTCAGTGATGCAGGACGGAGGGGCTGACAAAGAAAGCTGTCTAGTCGTTCGGATGGGACGAAAAACCGAGGTCCCGTGTACACATTGGCGTGCACGTAAAAGATCCCTTGGCAGTTGGAATTCGATATAAGAGTAGGCCGTAGTGCCGCTGTCCGGGCAAAATTTCCCTCATAGCACACTGTATGGCGTATGCCCGTCTTCATTAGCCCAGGTTAGGAGCAGAACAGTAGGACGTTAAACTCCATTTCATTTCATTTTTTTTCACGTTTAATTATGGAATACTTGCAATATTGAAGCAATATTCGCCAACACCGGTCGCTCTCATCTTCCAATAATTTTGCATGGTACAAAGTTGAAATCCTAATCATTAGGACGCGTAGCATGGCTTTTAAGCGACAAACTATCTTCGATGCCTCGGATTATTCTCAATTTCTTATGAATTTAATAATGCAAGTGAAAATCGGCTCTATGCTACACTATGCAAATTAAGCGTCTGACGTCACTAATTATCTCGTTGTAACAGCACTATGCATTAATATTTCGTCAGGTGTGTTTGAGGTTTTTCATTTAAAATCACTCCCATATTCATTGAAGGGGCAATACCGATATGGAGGCACGGCATCAACTACTCTCCCCGTCTTTTCTCTCTTCCATTTTGCATTGTCATAAGTAATATGTTGCCTTGATTGTAGTGGAAATTAAGAAACGGTTAAAGCCGAGCGAAGAGACAAGAATTAAACTTTAAAATCATTTGGAGAATATGTGGTGGTCTGAATCCATTTAATAATGGATTATCTCCCCTTTATTCCACAATTTGGTCGATTGCAATAGTAGCCATGACTTCAAACTCGTCATCGAGTAGGAACCCGTTAGATAACTGGTTCCAGTCTATATTCAAACAACATAAAGAATAATCATCACCCGGTCGAAATGATATACCCTCTCTCTGCTTCACAAAACACTTGGCATCCTCGATTGTGTTTAGCAGTGTTAAGGTATAGCTCGCCTTGCAGTACCGCGTATCTTTCTCGTCTTTGTTCTTTAATTTCAGATTGACACATAATGAAGACATTGATTCATTATGCCGAACTCCGACACACCAATATTAATTGTCTATAGAGTTGTAATCGTTGCTGTAGTAAAGCGTATTCGACATACATTCATTTACGTGGAAGCTTGTCACAATGGTCGAACTCTTCTTGGCTTCTAACTCACCGATGGCCTCTTTCAAACTTTCTAAATCAATGTCCCCAAAACGTAAATTTAAATAATCTGACTATAGAAGCGAATGATACTCGTCGAAACACCGGTCGACACTTTCTCGAACAACCGGTAAAATATCTAGAACAGAAAGTGTGGAATTATCTTTTATAATATCGTTTGCACTTCGTACAGTGGATTCCAATATTTGTATATCCGAGTCATTATCCATTTTGGTTTCCGTAACGCACCGGCTGTGTTGTTCCCGCATTTTTATAATTTCGTTTTTCACACTCTCTCCTAGTTTTTCACTTATCTGCAAATAATTGCCTCTCGCGTATCAACTTCTTCACTGGTCCGAGATGCAGCAGCCAGGCTACATCGGCACGCGTTTAAAGACTTCGACATTGTTTTAAATTGATCAACTTCATCTTGCAATTTTTGAGTTAAAGTTATTAATTCTGTTCGGACTTCTTGATCAATGGCGTCTAAATTGCAGATTTTGTGGTCCTTGTGGTCAGCTGGAACATGATTACCATATATGGTCTTACTACAATCTTGTCACCATTTTACCCTCGTCTTCGGTTGTTTAAACGGTTACAAATTCCTGGTATAATTGTATTTACTTTCAGTTTACGTGATATAATAATATTGTTTATTATTTTTGAAGAAAAACACTAACAATACAGTTGGGAGTCAGCTAGGAGAGACAGCCGCTGTGGTTCGGGATCAATCCGGGCTAGTAAGATCTTCGTGTAGTAGAGGCCACCGAAAGAATAAAAATAAAACGAAACGAAATATAGATCTTTATTTTCATCCGATTGGGTTGTTTCTAGTTTATGCACATATTTAAACATACATTATACAAGAGATAAATCTGCATATTGCAGGTCTTTATTTAGGCCTGAAATGTTGTATAAACTATTAATAAGACATTTATTAACAAAACAAGACCATAATCAACTCTCGATGCCATTGGATACTCGAGATTTTAACTAGATTAGAATGAGTCGCCATTTAACATCTAATTTAAAAATTGGAATATACCAGTGCCCTGGTTACCACAATGCACACATCTTGTCAAAACTCAATCTGATTAAAACACAGATCCTATTTCGTTTCGTTTTTATAGTTCAAAATTTCGTTTTACTTGTCTTTACTACACTTGGATCTGGAAGAGTTGTTATTTAACTCGTGTTCTGAATGGTGTCAGGGATAAGCCAATGAAACGGTATGTTACGCCCCCCTAGGCGTGTTTTTCACGGAACTGTGGGTAATCCAATAGTAATATCAATGCTGATTGGTTAATCAAATGCCTGACGTCATAGGGTCATAAGTCGGTCTTTTGACCCCTGACGTGACCTATCGCTATAACTTGTCAGATCTTCATGTAGTGTAGGCCATCGAAAGTATAAAAAAACGAAACGAAATATAGATCTGTATTTTAATCAGATTGGTCAAAACTACAAACAGTCATAACTTGGCCCAAAATAAAGTAATTTGAATGAAATTTTCAATATTTCCATTTTACATTATCTTTTATCCAACTATTATAGCAAGAATGGCTAAATCTTACATAATATATCTTTTATGCTGCGGCAATATAAAGCAATTCATCAAAAACGACGTAAATTAATGACTAATGCCCATTCCTGAAAATGGAGGGAAACGATAGGATGTGAAAACGTGTTGCAAATGTCCAAATTATCAGTAAAAGTACGTCATGTAAACTGATAAATCGTATATTATTACACAGCTACAAGCGAAAATGTCCAATAAACAATTTATTGTTAGTTTGCGCAGAAAGATATGGTATATTATTTTACGTCTACAAACGAAATTGTTTCCGTTTTGTCCAATAAACAATTTATTGTTAGTTCCCCTAGAATGATATGGTGTTGAAACGTGTTATTACAAATTTCCGTATTACATGGTAGACCTAAAATTATCATATAAATTAACAACTGGTATATTGATCGAGTATTTTACAGCCACATGAAAGTTTCCGTTTAATATTCTAATAAACAATTGTTTTTTTAGTTCTAGGGAAAAATGCGACAGGCAGCGCCGAATTAAGACCAATAGAGACTCTAAGCACCTAACAAGTAAACAATAATAAATCATAAAAAAAAAATTTGCATTTTTTCAAAAATTGATTGATTGAGACAGAGAATTAATTGAGACAGAGCAACAGTAAGGAAGGAGAAAAACTATGAAAAGCTCATTAAAACTTCGTAATTAATTTTTAAATTAGATATTTTAAATTTGTCACCTAACAAAGCTGGTGGTACCCCCACCCCCATGATGCCTATACACGTGCTTTTTTTTTTAGCTTACAGGTTAATTCACGATATTTTAATGTTGTTTAAATGTGGATTTTAATAAACGTATTACGCAGATAGATTATTATGGAGAGTCCGTCTGGATATAAAATACGATTTTGTTTGAAATAGGTCTCCCGAGGTTGACATTTGGTGAAAAGGCGTTGCTCAGACCGAGGAGTGACATATGACTGTGGCGATGGACTACCACTTCCGGTTTCGGAGTTATGCTACTTCCGGTTCATGGGGATACCCGTACAACACCGGGTTACCCGCTAGTATCAGATACCATTTTGCATACCCCACCCCATATCGCCCCTATAAACTATCATGGCCCTTATAAAAAGGTGTGCGATCCCTGAAAAACATGTTTTACCCATAAAGTTGTGCCCCAGTAGGCCTATTCTTTTTATTGTACACAGAATTTGTTGATGTCACGGCGGACTATACTTCTGTAGGAGTGAAGATGTAGGTAATGAAAGTAATTAACCCAGAGAACACTAGATCAGACACGGTCTAGTAGTTATGCCATCATAATATGTGAATTGTAGGTAAGAGTTAGCGCTGCAGATGTAAACAGAGCTAGCGCTAATTCTAAACCTAGTTAGAGTCCCGTCACCTGTTAACGACAGTGGCGGTAGCGGGCATAAGGAAGCAACTTGTGCCTCGCCGACCACCTCTAGGCGACGCCTGGTCGTAGCCGACCTAACGAGAAGATGCACTCCGTGCCACTGGCCGATGTCTCGTTTCCTCGCAAGCCCGCGGATAGACCATCGACAATCTGTCGTGCCCGTTATTGGCCGACGGCAGATGCCGCTGTGTCACAGGCCATCATTCGATCGCCAGTCGGTCTCCGATACTTTCTTCTCTGTCACTGGCCGACGTCAGATTCCTCTGCCGTCACAGGTCATCTCCCGTCACAGTCTTTCACTAGCGCCACAAGGCAGTCCCCACCTAGGCTACACCTCTCGCCCGACAAACCAATCCTGAGCCAAACTCCCAGGCGTTAAGTATGTTTAAAATACAGATGTGACGTCATCCTTTGATGTTGGAGTACCATTATTTCAAATAATCGTACGGGCAATGTGCCAAGCGTAACTTGGTAAAATATTGAACTCGAGTGGCGTATTTCATTGCAAAGCACGTGCAAGTGTCTGTATTTTAAGTTGTTTAATGGTCTCGAGCTTAAGACATTGCGTAATATATTGTAAAAACATTCGGGCCTCACGGCCCTCATGTTGTTACAATATATTACTTAATGTCTCGCTCTCGACCATTAAACAATACTTAATGGAGACAAATAAATAAAATAACTATATTGAATAACAATTACTTAGCTATAGTTTCACAGCTAAGTTTCACAGTATTACTCAATATTATAGGTGGTGTGGGGATTGCGTTAATATTGTGAAATACCTTTCTTGTGTAAATATTATAGTGGTATTGACTGGCTTAATATCAGCTTCCACACACGATCATATTGCAGACAAACACGTTATATTGGGACTAGACCATGTGCCATCATGTACTATGATTCCCCGGTTGTATGTGACAAGGAGTAGGGTCGCCGGGTCCACCGGTTTCCTCCCACTGCTAAAGACCCTTACGCGCAAGCGAATTATGTAAATAAAATTAAAACTATATGTTAGTCCCGAAATGCTCTAGTTTGTGTCGAGTGGACGTTAAACCCCATTTCTCTCTCTCTATCATGTACATGCTCTACATCAATGCAATCAGCTCAATAGTTTAACCTGGGCAAAATCGCGTCTTTTTAAACGAGCGCTGGACGACCCACTTCCGGCTTTCCTAGTTGAGTTTTCGCACGATTAACAGACACGGATGGCTAATCTTTGGAGCGGTGTTAGACATACAAAATCAATTTATACTATAGCATGTTTGAGGCACGGTCTTCACGTTTGCCACTAGTTGAAAATAAGCAGTCTCTAGCTGCTTGCTGTCTGCTTGAATGACGTAGCGGTTGTGAGAACACGGAGACATAACCACAATGTAGGTTGCGGAAAAAGAGATTGCAATATGATAATCCAAGATTGTACTTAGGCTTCGATATTTATGGTATATGCATAGCGAATAACGACAAATTGTACAAGCTGAAAATTGACCCTCCCCTTAATCAAAGCACTTGACGAGAACTGTTGCTTAAAATAGACTTTCATTGCTTGGGATAGTTACTTCCGAATCATTTGCGAGCGTTTTGGTGCAAACATTTGATAAAACTTAGGTTGAATATGTTTTTAGTCCAAATATATCAACAAAGTAGCAAGTTTGAACCTTTGGATGATATTGAGTTAGAGACTTAGCTACTTTAAGATTAATATTGTAAATTAAATATTTATGGATACATGAGGAAGATTTTTTTCCGGGCAGCGGCGTTTCCGTCTACAATACCCACTTCCAAGAGTGTGCATGAAAACGTTTTTGTACCATACGAAGGACTGGGCATACTTTTCTTGTCAGCTACGTATACGAGAACCCCGATCGAATCGAAGATATTTTAATCGCGGGGCTAGTGGCCAGAGCCTTCTTATTGTAGCGGCCTAGCGATTATTCCCTGCCTATCAGCGTGACATTCTGCCCGATGGAGGCACCACGTTGTGGTCGATGAACAGAATGGAAAATTGAATTGCGGATCCCCTGGGACTGGGTTTATGAGTCGTACGCTACAGAAATCGCGATATAAATCGGTTGAATTAAAATTTTCGCGTATAAAGTTAATCTTCGCAATATCTGTCTTTTCAAAAAAAAAAACCCACCTCGTTTCTGAACTTGAAAAACGTCCCACCCCTCTCTAGACTTCCGGGTTTGAAGGTTAATTTCACATCTGACGGACAACTTTGATTCTTTTTTAAAACACCCATTTCAGAACAAAAAATCCCCTAGGTTCATACGATCCAGCACGAACTCGGAACTGAAAATAAGACAAAAATCTTCTTCGGTGATAATGGTGCCACAGTTCATCTATCAATGAAAAGTTGTCTGCCAAACGTAAAGTTTTCCGGTGTGTGATTTTCTATTTAGTCTTAGGCCTTAAATTCCTAATAAACATATAACAATATAGATTGGATGAAGATTGTCGCAATTGAAACCACTCCGAGATATTTGATTTTTCTCTATATTTATGTTTACTTTGTTGAAACCTTTAGAGAAAGAAACCATAATAGGACATTAAACAGATCAATGGAAAACTTGACAAGCCGCTTCTTTGATGTTTAAAAAGACGACGAGTTCCGATTGAAAATATATCAGCTAGAGTGGCTTCCCTTTAACTCCTGAACCAAAACAATCTGACGTCATCTTTGGTTATTGACAGTCCATTTCTCCGAGAAAAACTTGATAATTTCTGGTATAAAAGAAATGGTTTGTAAAATTTAACGAGTTATTATTGAAAATAGACACCTTGGGTTGAAGCATGGCGGCTGAATCCCCAAGACGAAGTTCTAAATATAATTGCACAGTCGTTAGACCACAACCCTACAGGTTTGTTTACATTTTTTCAGCTGATCCATCAAAACTGGGTCAAAATATTTTTTATGTCGTATTTATAGGTAGGCAAGTCGTACTATGTTATTTCGTGTTTTCCAACTATGTTATTATGACAGTTGAATTGTAATGTTTACCTAATGCCAACTCAGGGTCTGATTTGTAGAGTTGCAATAAGCCTAAATTGTCGGACTGTGAGTGTGCATGTGAGTCGGTCACAGAACTGAGACAACACATTTTACAAATTGTTAATCTTTTGACTTTGACTGTTATAAAATGGAATTGTGATGCCATTGTGATAAGATTCCAGAAAGTCGAACTAACACAATATTTTAAAGAATGATTATTCTTTCCTTTATTTGTCAATTAATGTTCAGCAACTGCATTCATGATTCATTCATGAGTTACGGCACTGCACGCGCAATACACGTAATATCTCAAATTTACTATTCGCGGACGACCTGCTAATGCTATCAGCGATGGCAAATGCACATGGTCTCCAAAATAGCATTAATTTTAGAAAGTCGATCTTACACAATATTTTAAAGAACGATTATTCTTTCCATTATTCTTCAACAACTCCATTCATTTAGATACGGCACCATAATACAAGTAATATCTCAAATTTACTATTCACGGACAATCTGCGAATACTATCAGCAATGGCAAGTGGTCTCCAAAATAGCATTTATTGTCTAGCACAGTTCTCCAACATTTCAAAGTTATCCATAAACACCTTATTGCTACATGTTTTCTTATCTGTAACTTTTGTTTATATTTTGTACAGTGATAAATCTGTTGTTGAAAGTGTGGTTGATTTTATATCCGATGTCGTACCTCAAGTACAGGTTTGTATTTCATGTATTGTAACTAATACTCTTATACAATCAACTTTTTGGGGGATCATGTGGCTAAGTGGGTAAGACGCTGGCTCGCTAGCCTGGAGGTCCGGTGCTCAATCCTTGCATTGGCCGAGAAAGTTCACCCAGATTTTCCGGTGTGGTTTCCCCTTGTCAGTGATGCAGGATGGAGGGCCTGACAAGGACAGCTGTCTAGTCGTTCGGATAGCATGAAAAACCGAGGTCCCGTGTACACATTGGCATGCATATAAAAGATCCCTTGGCGGTTGGAATTCGATATAAGAGTAGGCTTTAGCGCCGCTGCCCGGGCAAAATTTCCCTCATATCACACTGTATAGCGTAAGCCTGTCTTCATTAGCCCAGGTTAGGAGCAGAACAGTAAGTCGTTAAACCCCATTTCATTTCATTTCATTTCACAATCGACTTTTGAAACCGAGGTTTTATAGCTTTTATTTATTATGAAATCTTTCTTAAAGTCTCAGTGTATTATTTTAATACTACAGTAGTGTGAAAGATGTATCTCTTATACAAGCCTGGAAATAAGGCACCTGTCACAGACAATGTCAGGCACAGATTCAGGCTTTGTCAGGCACAAAACCTCTGGTGCCTGTCATTTTGTCCGGCACTGATTTGTCTTTTTTATTCATATTATAAATGCATGTCCGGCACTAAGTTAAAAATGTCAGTTACTATTTCATTAGTACCTGACGTTTTTGTCAGGTACATCTAAAACCGTTATTTCCAGGCCTGCTCTTATAGGAATATCAGTCCAGAATGGTCATTCCGTTGAGTATTTACAAAGATATGTGGAATTGAAATTCCATCAATCTATGAAGTTTGCCAAGTAATATACCTGCTACCATTATATTATCCACGAAAATTTAGTTGTAGGCCTGATTTGAATCTGATTTAATTCATGCAAACTGAGACATTATCTAGCATTGGTATTTTGATTATGTTTTCTTAATTAAAGCGTGGATTGTGCATTGAAATTTTTTATATTTTATTGTTATTTTTAGGCATACAGCGGAAACCAGAGAAACGATGACAAAGAGAAGATAACTTGGGTTAAATTTGAAAGATGTGATATAAATGGTGAGAATTGACACCATCTTTCTGACCAAGATGGGGGGGGGGGTGTGGATGGCGGAATGGTTAGCGTGCGCGCGCTGTATCATAAAGTCTGTCATTGAGTCGACTGGCGTGGTTTTGAATCCCCAGTTGTACATGGCAAGGAGTAGGGTCGCCTGTCCAACCTCGTGGGTTTTCTCCAGGTCCTCCTGTTTCCTCCCACTGCTAAAGACCCCTACGCACAAGCGAATTATGTAAATAAAATTAAACCATATGTTAGTCCCGAAATGACCTAGTTTGTGTCGAGTGGACACCTTGGCAGTTGGAATTCGATATAAGAGTAGACCATAGTGCCGCTGTCAGGGCAAAATTTCCCTCATAGCACAATGTATGGCGTATACCTGTCTTCCTTAGCCCAGTCAGAGCAGAACAGTAGGATGTTAAGCCCAATTTTATTTCATTTCTGACCAAGATGATATCTGTAGGTTGAGAATACCTTTCATAAATCCATGGATTCACCAGGAAATACTAATTATAAGAGCCCAGTTAATGACTATTTAGGGTGGATACATGTACCACACACAGCAATCCTGGTACAGGTCGAAATAAAATGTTTTTTGAATTCGCAGACTTTCCTAGGCAGGGCTTGTTATAAGAGTCAAGTTAATGTCTATTTTAAGCAGATATATGTAGGCCTACATGATGTGTGGTTTGATAGTTCAAGAGTGCGCCATTGTTTCTGCACTAGGGCATTTATAGGCAATCATTCTGTGATCGTCATCTTGGTAAGTGTCCATACCATTATTAGGGGGTCTGGATGGCCGAATGGTTAGTGCGTGCGCTCTGTATAATAAGGTCCTCTGGTTTCCTCCCACTGCTAAAGACACCTATGCGCAAGCGAGTTATTATAATAAAATTGAATCATATGTTAGTCCTGAAATGACTGAGTTTGTGTCGAGTGGACAGGTCACGTTAAACTCCATTTCTCTCTCTCTCTCTCTTAGTTTGTTTTGAGTGGACGTTAAACCCCATCTCTCTCTCTCTCTCTCTCTCTCTCTCTGCCAACATCAAGTCATTTATGTGGTTGTTTGTTTGTTTCAGATATAACTTGTAACCCTAATTTATATGGTGGTGAACAGAAAATCTTACCCTTGCTTCTAATCCTAGGTTATAATAATGGTGTACAAATCTGGAACATTACGGTTAGTATCAATCTAATTATTGTCTTAGCAAGGTGGGTGGCTGAATGGTTTAACCTGTGAATCAAGTGGCGTGGTTTGATTCCCCACTTGTCCAACCTGTTTGTTTTCTACAATAGATGTGAATGCTCTAGAGTCTAAATTTCTCATCCGATAGAGGAGGAAGTATATTGATTTCCATTAACTTCAAGAGCTACTGTAAAGTTATCATCCGATTATCGAAGAAGTCTATTGAATTTCTGTTAGTGGAGGCCATCGAAAGTATAAAAAACAAAACAAAATATAGATCCGTATTTTAATCAGATTGAATAAGCTAGTCAAATTATTTTTGGTGATTACGTGTAGGGTTGTTATGATTAAGTTAATTTTTCCAGAATCATTCTGCAGAATATGATTACTGTTTACTCTTCAGCGAACTTTCGACTTGGCTTGAGGGGTGGATGGCCGAACGGTTAGCATGTGCGCGCAGTATCATAAAGCCTGTCATTGAGTCAACTGGTGTGGTTTCGAATCCCCGGTTGTACGTGACAAGGAGTAGGGTTGCCTGTCCAACCTTGTGGGTTTTCTCCGGGTCCTCCGGTTTCCTCCCACTGCTAAAGACCCCTACGCGCAAGCGAATTGTTTTGAAATAAAATTGAACCATATGTTAGTCACGAAATGACCTAGTTTCTCTCTCTCTCTCTTTAAACTAGGCTTCTCTAGTATTTATCAAGCTATTACTGTTTATTACTGAGTGATGTTTTGACATGGCTTCTCTAGTCATTATTAATCAATTACTGCTTATTACTGAGTGAGGGATCATGGTGACTAAGTGGATAAGACTCTGGCTCGCTAGTCTGGAGGTCGGATGTTCGATCCCTGCATTGGCCGAGAAAGTTCATCCAGATTTTTCGGCGTGGTTCTTCCTTGTCAGTGATGTAGGACAGAGGACCTGAAAAGGACAGCTGTATAGTCGTAGGGGTGGGATGTAAAACCAAGGTCCCGTGTACACATTGGTGTGCATGTGAAAGATCCCTTGGCAGTTGGAAATAGATACAAGAGTAGACCATGAGGCGAAATTTCCCTCATATCACACTGTATGGCATATGCACTTCTTAATTAGCCCAGTTCGGAGCAGAACACTAGGACGTTAAACCCCATTTCATTTCATTTATTACTGATCAACATTTCAACATCTCTAATCATTATCAAGCAATGATCGGATGTTATATATTAAAAACAATGACAACTTAGTAATTATCGTGATATATTATTATGTGTGTATATTTTAGAGTAATGGAGATGGCCAAGAGATATTATCATTACGACAAGGTCCAGTTAGAATATTGAAAGTTTTACCTACCCCAGATATAGGTATGACAGCCCTTAACACAATTAGATCTAATTTGTTAGATGTACCGTATTCCCTCTCTATTACAATCTAATGTTAGATGTACCATATTCCCCCTCCAATACAATCTAATGTTAGATGTACCATATTCCCCCTCCAATACAATCTAATGTTAGATGTACCATATTCCCCCTCCAATACAATCTGATGTTAGTTGTACCATATTCCCTCTCCAATACAATCTAATGTTAGATGTACCATATTCCCTCTCCAATACAATCTAATGTTAGATGTACCATATTCCCTCTCTATTACAATCTAATGTTAGATGTACCATATTCCCCCTCCAATACAATATGTTAGATATACCATATTTCCTCTCTAATACAGTCTAATGTTAGTTGTACCATATTCCCTCTCTAATACAGTCTAATGTTAGTTGTACCATATTCCCTCTCTAATACAATCTAATGTTAGTTGTACCATATTCCCCTTCCAATACAATCTAATGTTAGATGTACCATATTCCCCCTCCAATACAATATGTTAGATGTACCATATTCCCTCTCTAATACAGTCTAATGTTAGTTGTACCATATTCCGTCTCTATTACAATCTAATGTTAGATGTACCATATTCCCTCTCTATTACAATCTAATGTTAGATGTACCATATTCCCCCTCCAATACAATCTAATGTTAGTTGTACCATATTCCCTCTCCAATACAATCTAATGTTAGATGTACCATATTCCCTCTCCAATACAATCTAATGTTAGATGTACCATATTCCCTCTCCAATACAATATGTTAGATGTACCATATTCCGTCTCTAATACAGTCTAATGTTAGTTGTACCATATTCCGTCTCTAATAAAGTCTAAAGTTAGTTGTACCATATTCCGTCTCTAATAAAGTCTAATGTTAGTTGTATCATATTCCTTCTCCAATACAATCTAATGTTAGATGTACCATATGAGATGAAATTAATATTACTTGTTTGTGGTTTTAGGAAATTGTGATAATGAAAAATTTGCATCGAAAAGGCCCCTGATAGCAGTTTGTGATTCGTCAAGGTAGGATTGTTTGTTTATTAACTCATAGTGGGGTTGGATAGCCGAATGGTTAGCATGTGTGCGCTGTATCATACGGTCTGTCATTGAGTCAACTGGCGTGGTTTCGATTCCCTGGTTGTACGTGACAAGGAGTAGGGTGGCCTGTCGAACCTCATGGGTTTTTGAAATAAAATTCAACCATATGTTAGTCCCGAAATACCTAGTTTTTGTCGAGCAGACTTATATCCTCTCTCTCTCTCTCTAAAGACCCCTACGCACAAGCGAATTATTGAAATAAAATTCAACCATATGTTAGTTCCGAAATGACCTAGTTTGTGTCGAGCGAACTTAAATCTTCTCTCTCTCTTTCTCTCTCTCTCTCCTATTAACTAGTTATTGTGATGACAATATGATTATAACCACAGTAAATAAACGAATTGCATGTTAGTCTCAAATTAACAACACATATCAAATATTTCCTTATTTCTATAAAGTTGATAAAATCTGTGTTTCAGTGCTGGACAGCCATTTTGTTCTGTTAAGTTTGTATCTTTACGGAGTGGTGATGAAGTTCACAGTGTTCCCTTTAAAACCCTACCTGTACATAATATAGAGGCAACTAAAAGGTAAATATACAACCATTTAGAGGAGGACAAGGATCTCGATTGACGAGTACGGTGTTCTCTGATTTGTCCCATACCAATTGAATTTATAGGATATTCAAAGGGGTTTTGTTTCTGGTGCATATCTCATAAAAAATTTAAGATCCATTATAAACTTTGTACACACAATGGTCAGACAATTTAGGACTTTTGGTAAATAGTGTCAGACATGTCCGGAATATATGGGCGAAATCCTGTCACTGCACGCAACCTATTACAGTCTTGGGCCCTTTCCTAATTAGAAATTTCTCAGATTTAATGTGTTCCCTTGAATACAAATTGGACTCAGTTTAACTTGCTTTGTCAAAAATAACTTACAGTCAAAATATGGATGTGGAAGCCTGTTGTATATAAATGTTTGTCATACATCATGTGTTAATTAAGCCATGGAATAGTGTGGATATATACACCAAGGTCCAAAATGATCAGCATTCTATTTTTTCAGACGCCCCGTTGTGGGCTCCGCACTCACAAATTGTCACCATAACATTATAATATAGAGATTCAAAATTTCTTGCCCTCTCCACCCCTGCTGGAAATCCTAGATCTGTCGATGGCACCATCTTGATATGCAGTCAGTATTGCTGAAGGCCATGGGTCATAAACTTTATAATTGTTTTGTTCTTTAAAACTATTTTAGGTATATTGCTGTTGTCTTTCAAGAGAAGATTGCTGTTTTTGATGCCTGGAATTTACAGGAATTATTTAGAGTTTCTGGTAAAAGCATATTTTTATTTTCACCATATTTTTTTTATGTGTCATCAAGGTCGATCTTAAGATGCCGATAAGGGTCTCCATTATGGTATCATATGTGATACCACCGTCGGTTTAAACCCCATGAATGAATTGATTTTGATCGGGACCAGAACTAGAACAGCAAATGATCCAGATCATTGTCTATTCAATATGGCAGTACCTATGCTATATTTTCTGCTATTTCTCTCACTCTTGGAACTGTTTTTTCGATGATAGTGAAGAAGAAATGATTAATTAGTAGAAAGTTTGTATTTTTCTATCACTTATCAGTGATTTTGGAGCTAGATAGACCATTCTAGTTGCAACCATATTCTGTACTCAATGCCATCATAATGCCGATAGTTTGACCATAGTGTGAAAATCCATGTAAGCAAAGACCCCTGGCTGTTATTTCTGCAATTGCAAGATTTATGGAAGGGAGACAACTCGAGTTTTCTGTTCATCCTTGCAACCAGACACTATTGATGGCAATTTAGCTGTTAATTTTACTACATAATTATTTTGTCAGTTGAATGGCTTAAAACATGTGCTTTAGATCATACGGTCTGTCATTGATGAGTCAAAACAAAATGGTTTCGATTCCGCTACATAGAAGCGATTATTGAAATAGAATTGTACGATATGCTAGTTCCGAAATGACCTAGTTTGTGTTGAGTGGACATTAAACTCTCTCTCCCCCTCTCTGTGTTCCAAACAAGTGGATACTTACGGCTGGCTCCCGGATCCATTCACTTGATTTGATATGTGTTGTTTATTTCTTGCAATGTTTGTGTAGTTTGTCATGTCCGCAGGTTTGTCTTGTTGGTTTGGTTTTGTCTGTAGTACCGTTCTCCTGCACTATGTATGGTTTACTGGTCGAGAGCGAGACATTAAGTAATATATTGATACTGCATGAGGCGTTAGCTCAAGACCATTAAACAAATTAAAATACAGACACTATCCCGCATGTGCTTTTCAATGAAAAATGTCACGCGAGTCCAATATTTCATCTAGTATAGATAATGTACGATTGGCAAGTTGCCCGTGCATTATTGGAAATAATGGTATGCCAACATCAACGGTTGATGTCACATCTGTATTTTAAAAGGGGGGGGGTGGTTGGATGGCCGAATAGTTAGCACGTGTGTGCTGTATCATAAGGCCTGTCATTGAGTCAACTGGCGTGGTTTTGAATCCCCGGTTGTACGTGACAAGGAGTAGGGTTGCCTGTCCAACCTCGTGGGTTTTCTCCGGGTCCTCTGGTTTTCTCCCACTGCTAAAGACCTCTACGCACAAGCAAATTATTGAAATAAAATTAAACCATATGTTAGCCCCGAAATGACCTAGTTTGTGTCGAGTGGACGTTAAACCCCATCTCTCTCTCTCTCTCTCTCTCTCTCTCAAAAAGATATAAGAACTGTCGATATGTCTGTCTCAAAATGGCTCAACTGGCATTTTGACGAGATGTTTAAACTCTAGTTTGTTTTGAGAAACACTTGTTTTATTTTTGTATGGTTTCTGTAGGTTGTTACCCTGATTCTGGTTTAAAGATCAATCCCATAGCTCTCGGTACAAGATGGCTGGCTTATGCTGATAGGCGGGTGAGTACAAATACAGTATTCTGCCATTTGTTATATATGGATGTATTGAATTGTGAAGGCTAATACGGATATCACAAGTGCAATCTCGACAAGGATGGTATAATCCTTGAAAGGCGTTTAGTAATTGACTTATGATAAAATACTAGAACACTTGGTGATTGTATTCTAATATCTTACCCGGATGGTGTTTAAATTTTGTTGTTGTTGGTCCTTGACATGGTAGTCGAGTGGGAAGATTAGAATGTTCTAAGTTTAAAAGCCCAGACATCCTTAGACCATACAAAAGAATTAATGTGACTGTTTTTATTTTTTAAAATAAAAACTGGTCATCCAGCACTTTTTATGTGCCGAGTGGTGAGATTAGAATGTCCCGAATTTGAAAGCCCAGACAAATTAGGCCATACAAAATATTTAATGAGACCATTTTAAATCAAAGAAGCCTATTGAATTTCAACAATTTCCAATGATAACTTCCAGAGTTATGGTCCTTGTTTCACTTTGTAGAACCTTGTGAACGCTCTAACGACTAAAGTTATCATCCGATCTGTATTAAATTTAGATAAATTATTTGAATTAGTAAAAAGAAGAGGTGTATTGAATTTCAGCAATTTCCGTTAAAGACTTATAGAGTTATGGCCCTTGTTTCACTTTGTTGAACCCTGTTAACGCTCTAATGACAAACGTTATCTTATTGTCCGATCTGTATTAAATTTATATGCATTAGTAAAACAGCAATTTCTGTTAATAACTTTTAGAGTTATGGTCCTTGTTTCACTTTATGTAGAATATATTTTTGTATGGCCTTATGGTTGGGAAAGCAGATGTTTGTTTGTCTAACAAATAAATAACATAAGAGAATTAAGCTATCAACAATGGTAATTCTTATCAGAAGCTATCTATGCATGCCTAATTCTGAATTATCGAAGTTAAAACTAAGCAGGAAATGGAAGTCTTTTGCTTACGGAACTTGTAATGCTATCAGACAGCTATAATTGTGTTTATCCTAGCCTATATCTTTAATATTTATTTTGTTTTGATATTTATATTGTAGTTAGTAGCATATCATCAGTCATGTGGGGGTATGTCAGGAGATGGATCACAGTCCTACGCAGCTACAGTCATCAGTGCTGCCAAGGTAAAAATAAACATACTTCTCATATAAAACATAGCACTTATATAACCTCTTTCACAAAAATAAAATTCCTTCATATTATATTAATTGTACACATCTACAGTGATCAGTGCAACCAAGGTCAAAACATATTTCTTACTTACATAGCTTCTTTCACAAAATTTTTTTTCTTTCTTGATAGTTTTAAATTAGCTTAGAAGCTTGCATCCTTTTTATATTTGTATAAGCTTGCTGATCGTCTTTTGAGTTTTTTGGGACAATATCTAGCTCTACATTGCTTGATTCATTCTAAAATGTACCCAAATTGGTTATCTAACATTTAAAGATACCTTATGTAAGATTTAGTTAAAGAGCGAGTCATTCTTGCTATAATAGTTCGAAAAATAGATAATGTAAAATGAATAATTTGAAAATTTCATTCAAATTACTCTATTGCGAGTGAAGATATTACTGACTGTTCGAAGCTAAGTCTTGCTCCTCCATTTTTACCTTAAATCAAAATATGGCTGAACTGTTCTAATCTATTTAAAATCGGAGAAATCTGATGCCATCGAGAGTTGATTATGGTCTGGATAAGTTAATTCATGTCTAATTATTAATTTAGATAACATTTCAGACCTGAAGAAAGACCTACAATAGGCAGATTTAGCTCTTGCATAATGTATGTTTAATTAAATAAAAATTAAAACATCAAAGATAGATAATCTCTTAGCTTGAAAAGAGAATCATCAAAAGATTTCAGCAAAAATCATAAGGTGGCGCTGGTTTGTTTAGATCGTATACAAAATATGCTGAGTATTGTGAAATTTTCAATTGTTCATATCTTTGTAAATACTGAATGTAATTCAGATTTTCTCAATATTGTAGATGGCAAGGTATTCAAAATCACTCAAATGACGACCAGCTGCATTTGTGTTTTCTTTTTATCCGTATAGAATATATACCAAAAATAGGCTAGCAATCACAATAAAATATCATTTAAGGATTGTTTGCGTGCCACAGGTTTGAATCAAGATTCTCTCCAGATTCAGGTCTGGTTCCCTATTGTCAGGGGCAATACCTGACTAGTTGTTGGAATGGGTTGAAAAAACGAGGTCCACCTATTTATATTAATGTCATGAAATGGAGTTTAACGTTATGTAACTCTAGACCAACTGGGCTAATGATGACGGGCATAAATCATGTAGTGTGCTATTAGGTTTATTTTTCTCAGACAGCAGGATTTTCAACTACTGTTAATTCGATATACATCGGCCAGCTGATCATGAAGTTTCTGCCAATGGTGTACACAGAACCTTGCTTTTAACAGCCTACTTTTCTGCACCAGTCAGACTAATGAAAATGGACATACATGTTGCAATGTGCTATTAGAGAAATTCTGCCCAGACAGTGGTGTTTCGACCTGAAATGAAATGAAATGGGGTTTAACGTCCTACTGTTCTGCTCATAACCTGGGCTAATGAAGATGGGCATGCGCCATACAGTGTGGTATGAGGGAAATTTTACCCGGGCAGCGGCGCTACGGCCTACGCATATATCGAATTCCAACTGCCAAGGGATCTTTTACGTGCACGCCAATCTGTACACAGGACCTCGGTTTTTCGTCCCATCCGAACGACTAGACAGCTGTCCTTGTCAGGCCCTCCGTCCTGCATCACTGACAAGGGGAAACCACGCCGGAAAATCGGGTTGAACTTTCTCAGCCAATGCAGGGATCGAACACCCGACCTCCAGGCTAGCGAGCGTGTTTCGACCTGCTCATCATCAAAATCTAACTGTCATTTGTTGTTTTATGTCCATGCCATTTTATACATCTGAATAACTAGACTTTGTTGCTTGCCATGAGATCTGTCAAGGGGGAACCAGACTGGTAAATCCTAGTTTGGAGATGCTAATTGTAGGTCAGTTGGGGAGGTTCAGCTATTTCTGGAATCCAAAATGGCCACTTTATATAAATGAGTATTTTGGGGAATACTAACCTGAATCCTAACCCTAACCCTTTTAAGAGGGGTAAATGGTAAATTGGATCCAAATTCAGTGTTCTAAAAAGGGTTAGGATTAGGAAAATCATTCCCTAAAGTGGACTCCGGAAACACTGGAACTTTCCCAACTGGCCTACAATTAGCAACTCCCAACAATGACAGCCAGCACCAGGATCGAACCTGGGACCTCCATTTTTGATGAGCCACTATGGCTGCCACTGGCCCTAAAAGCATGCATGTCACCTGTAGTTTTATCAATCTTGATTGTCCTTTTTTTTGTGTTATTAGAAATTTGGTGTTTTGAATAGAGTGAGTATTTTGTTATCCGTTTAAAGGTGGAGATCTTATTTTGTTTTTAACCAATCAAAGGGTTTTTTGTCAGCATTCGGCGTAAACAATCTATATTTTCGACACTCTCTTAAAAAACACAGTGTGGTTTAAACCAAATTTGGGAACTATATGTTGGCAGTAGCAGCTGTTTGCCATTTAGATTTGTTCTAAATGAAAAATTTCCATAAATTGGGGACAAAGTAGCCATTGATATTCTTAACTTGCTTTGTGATGAATAACCTTATAACATTACTAATGGTAATTAAGGCCCATTGGTCTCTTGCTAAAAAGTAATAAATTTGGTCTTACCAGTAAATGAAAAGGGGTTTAAAGTCCTGTTCTGCTCTGACTGGACTAATAAATTGTTATGTCTGAATTGCTTTCAACAACAGGTATTGGAAAATGGAAAATCTTTCAAAACTAACATTAAAGCGAGAATTTCATATTTTCTAAGAAAGTCAAAACATAATTATTTCTATGTCTTTTGCTCAATAGGTTATCAACTCACTATTATACGATCATAGGCATTATTTCCCACACTTAAAAATCATTGACACAGGAAACAATAACACAATTACCTCCCTTGTTTTCCTATTCCCCCCATGGAAAAAGCTATCTTCAAACGTTTGAATTTGAAGTTGAAAATGATATTTTTGCCAATTTCTCAACTGGCAATAGTGAATTATAGGATTAATAGGATTATTCTTTAACAAGGTAGGACTGTTTATAGATACCATCTATTTTAGGGCTTTATTTTAATAAATTTTAAAAATATAACTTAAAAATATGAAATTGTAACTTTAAACTGAGCCTGAGTGTTATACCTGTTCATAACAATATAAGGAACTTAAAGATACATTATGGGAGATTCGGTAACGAGTTGGCAGTTCTCACTATAACAGTTAAAAACTAGATAATGTAAAGGCAATTTGGTGAAAATTTCATTCAGATTGAACCACTATGAACCGAGAACTAAGCGACTGAAATTCCCATAAGCCTCGGTCATCATTACTAAAGTCAGTACGATAAACAGCATAGTCTCGATTATCCATTTAATCGTTTACTAGAGAAGGAAAGTTATGCAGTAAATCGGCTTACAATTCACTAAAGATCGCAGGCTAGCGCTGCCATCTAGAGTTGATTATGGCCTGGATAGGTTAATCAATGTCTAATTAATAATTTAGATAACATTTCAGGCCTAAAGAAAGACCTGAAATAGACAGATTTAGCTCTTGCATAATGTATGTTTAAGGAAGGTAATCAAATTCGTTCGGAACAAAGTTACATGGCTAAACAGTGTTGATATTAGAGAAAATTAAAGAGAAATAGGCAAGGCACATGTATAGAACTTGTGTTAATTGTAATTACTATTTACAATCTGAGTCAGAACTGGTTTTGAATGAGTTCTTTGCCCCTGAATTTGATTGTCTCCCTTATAACATAAAATATAAATAACCTAGGACCAGCTTAAAGTTATTTTAGACAAAGGTTTTCCATTTTCCAAAAGTTTTTTACGTCAAGAAAATAGAAACGTAATTGTTAAATATTTCAATTACATTTCTATTTTCTTAGTCATTTTGAAACATTAGGCGTGGATAAATATGAAATCATATATTGTCGTCAACCCCCCCCATTGGTCAGTCTTATCACTTGTGGACACTCTAGAGGTTAAAGTTGTCATCGGATTGATTTGAAATTTATGCACAGGAAGGAGTAGAAGCCAATCAAACATTAATTATATCTGATTACTTCATCAGTTGTCGGGGGGTGGGGGGTGGCCGAATGATTAGCATGTGTGCGTTGAATCATAAAGTCTGTCATTGAGTCAACTGGCGTGGTTTCGATTCCCCGGTTGTACGTGACAAGGAGTAGGGTCGCCCGTCCAACCTTGTAGGTTTACTCGGGGTTCTCCACTGCTAACAATGCCTACGTGCAAGCGAATTATTGAAATAGAATTGAACCATATTAGTCCTAAAATGACCATGTATGTGTTGAGTGGACGTTAAACCCCATTTCTCTCTCTCTCTTTCTTAATCACTTTTCTCATCTATAAAATAACAAATATGTAACAATCCTTGTGGACTGTTGAGATGACTAAGCTGCTGTGGGTGTATGTTTCATTGCCTGACAACCTATCTTTTATTTACAAGTAGTGGTACATGATGGTCTCTGCCTTTAAAAAACAACATTCAGCATGTTGCTAAAACTTCACTCATTTACTTGTGTTTCTACATCTTCTATTATTTAGTTTGTTTTGTTTAACTTCTTGAGATTTTGTTTTGTTGTGTTGTGTTATGGTTTGACATTGAAATTAAAATGGCTAGTCCTTTTTTGATATGGGTCAAAAAATTAAATTATCAATGTCTTTAAATTTAATTTGTGGGGTGACAATGTTGATCTCATTTGTCTTGTTTATTCTGTCTGGTATTTAATGCTAGGTTTCCACTATCACAATTTGCGCTACAATTGAAATCATGGTTTTAATCGTGGAATAATAGCGGCAATACTATATACCGGAAAACTACCTGAATACACCGGAAAACACCATTTTATACTGAATACCCGAAAAACACTAAATACCGGAAAACACACTAAATACCGGAAAATACCCTAACTAGTAACCTGGAGACTGGCACCCTAAATAGGTAACCGGGAGCCTGGGTTAGGGTTAGGGTTAGTTTCCGGTTTATAGTACAGCCCTTCTCCGGGTTACCTATTTAGGGTGGTTTCCGGTATTTAGTGTTTTCCGGTATTTAGTGTTTTTCCTGTGTTTTCCGGTATTCAGTATAACATGGTGTTTTCTGGTAGTTTTCCGGGTGTTTTCCGGTGTTTTTTGGTCTTTTCCAGTGTTTTCCGGTATATAGTATATCCCAGTAATAGTCAGTCATAGCAATTGTGTTGATCCTTTCGAAACATACCTGAACATATCTGCACATACCATAATTATAATGGGACTCAATAAGTCGCTCTTCTGGCGAACCGACGAATCTGATATATTTAAGTATTGAGAATTATGTGTTTGAAATTTGTGTTCTGTTTTTATATCTGTAGCCATCAAATAATAACATTTATTTGTGATTTAATATTTCATACATATACATCAGGACACCGAATGCCATTTACATACATGTTATTATTTGATGGCTACAGAGATAACAACAGAACACAAATTTCAAACACATAATTCTCAATACTTAAATATATCAGACTCGTTGGTTCACCAGAAACGCGACGAATTGGGACAATCCTATCGTAACGCATCACAGGACAGTCGGAACCTAGCATAAGAGATTCAACTTTCACAATATTTTATTAACAATTCTATTTGTTTGACCCAAATCAAGGAGGTTTTAGTTCCTACATTTAAAGTAGCAATTGCAATTTTAACCTAACATAATTAAAGAACTGAGGACCTACTTATCAAATCTCGAGTTCTGTATATATTGTCTTGTTATATTTTCATATTTTATCATTGCTTGATAATGACTCGAGAAGGCTATTTGAAACGTTACTCAGTTAGAAAGCAGTAATTGTATTCCATAGAATTGTGACTTGTATATTACAGTTCAATTAAAACAATTTATCTTATAGTCATCTAAATACATAGTGAATCTTATATACCTCAATATTTCTCAAATACAACATTTAAAAACTCCTGGTCTTAAATTAGTTAACAAACAAAGTTTTGCCTATGTCAAGTGACGTTATCAAATGATAAACAAAACCAGGGTATTATTCGTGTATGTACTATAGCCAACAACCTAAGCTTAAACTTTTCAAACTCACAAATAATTTTGGCATACAAAGACCCATTGCTACTTTAAGATGTCTTGCTCAATAATTTCTGCCTTTCCAACCCTTGTATAAAATAAGTTTGCAGTGATCAACTAGAAATGTGTAGTAATTAAATAACACTATCTAAAACCATGTTTATTTTTCAATATTTGCTCAAATGATAGGCAAGTGTAGTCCGTCACTGTCTTGTACAGTTGGAAGATAGACTGCATACATCTTAAACTTAAAGATACATTATGGAAGATTAGATAAAGAGCTGACAGTTCTCGCTATAATAGTTAGAAAGATAGATAATGTAACAGGAATACTCTGAAAATTACTCCAGTCTAAGCCGAGGAATACTCATTTTAAAAACCTTGTAGCCTTGATTGTCCCTGTTGCTGTTGTGACAAAAATAAAAAAAGACTTGATTATCCAGGTAGATTGGATTCAAATCTAATGAAAATGGGAAGCATCCGATGCCATCGAGAGTTTATTATGGACTTGTCATGTTAATAAATGTCTAATTAATAGTTTATATAACATTTCAGGCCTAAAGAAAGACCTGCAATAGGCAGATTTAGCTCTTGCATAATGTATGTTTAAGTGATAAAAGTAATCATTAATCATAATCATTGTTTTGTGTGTTAATCATAATATACTTTGAATCAGTAACATGCAATATACACATGGTAACATGCATGATTGGTTACTATAACTGAGGAGGGTCTTAGCTAGAATATAGAATGCTCTAATTGTGCAGCGTTCAATTTGTCTTATTTTGTGCCATGTGTCGTATTCTGGAACAAAGATTTAAAGTCTTCAAGAACTTAATCATTAAACAGTTTACCCTGCTCAACCTCGTGGGTTTTCTGTGGGTCCTCCAGTTACCTCCCATGCACAAGCTAATTATTGCCATAAAATTTAACATTTGTTAGTCCCAAAATGACATAGGCTGGGTCGAGTAGATGTTAAATCCATCTCTATCTCACTCTCTTTAATCATCAGAACAATTTTCAACCCTTATCTCAGAATTTTTCAGGGCACTTGTTACAATCGTATTTGTCAGTCCTGACTAATTGACACTAAAATTGATTGACTGACAGACAGATTTACCTGTCAGTATAGAAATAAAATATAATTTCTCTAAAAATTTTATGTTATTTTTTTAATTTCAGGGAGCTATAAAAGGTTTAACGATGTTTGGTGAAGCTATGGTTAGCAGTGTAACAGGAAACAAACCATCTCCTCCAACGAAACGTATGGAAATGACCCAACCCTTAGATAACGGCAATCATCCTGGTATCGTGTCGGTTGTAGATATACCGAATATTAAAGATAAACAGGTACATCGTGTCTTATGCTTGTCAGACTGTCCCCAAAATACCTTAAAAAGGAAATGAAATCAAAATAATGGAAATTAATTTTCATCGAAGATTTTGATGAATTTCACTACCAACAGCTAATTTCTATATAATGCATTAATTGAATACAAAAAAAATATGTCAAATTATAAGTTAAATATAAACTAAAGTATAATAAGATTTATAATTGAAAGTATAATTTATAAGCTAAAGTTTAAGTATAATATGATTTATAATTGAAAGTGTAACTTATAAGCAAAACTTTGCTAGCTAAGTATAATTTGCTAGCTAAGTACAATTTATAATCTAAAGAATAAATAATAAGCTAAAGTATAATTTGCTAAGTAAGTATAACTTATAAGCTAAAGTATAATTTTCTCTATAATGCATTAAAATTTGAAAAATGAAATTGCCAAATTATAATTTTATAAACTTATAACAGGGTTCCCGCAGTCCTTGAAAATCCTTGAATATCCTTAAATTTAAAATTTCATTTTCAAGGTCTTGAATATCCTTGAATTTCGCGGAAATAGGAAAATATCCTTGAATTTCAGTTGAGATCCTTAATTTTGTTTCAAATGTCTTCAATTCCTTTTAAATATGAGATTATAACGATAGTTGGTAATGTTTTGGTTATTTTTAAGATGAAAAATTGTAACTTTAGGCTAAAAAATGTCCTTGAAAATCCTTGAATTTGACGTATATTTATCTTTGAATATCCTTGAAAAAATGTTTGACGAAGCCGCGGGAACCCTGTATAAGCTAAAGTATAATTTGTTAGCTATGGCATAACTAAAAAGCTAAAATATGATTTATATTCTTAAATATAACTAATAAGCTAAAGTATAGCTAATAAGCTATAGTATAGCTAATAAGCTATAGTATAGCTAATTAGCTAAATTATGATTTGTTAGCTATGGCATAAAATGAACTTATTGGCAAATGTATAACTTATTAATTGGCTAATGTATAACTTATTAATTAGCTAAAGTAACAGCCATACGGTACATGTATATTATTACCTCTCAATCAAGTTAAAATTAGATCTTTATTTGAGGATCTTCAATTGAGCGTTGTGGAACTGAATTCTCATAACGATTACAGGTGATAAAGCATGACCGAACTGCTCACACCATGTCTGTTTTCTGGAGTGGGAAAACTATGACAGGGCTTAATTACACATGTCACTCAATAACTCAAACTTTTTATTTCAGTTTTCTGTGACTGAAGATCAAGAATGTGATGGATTAATTGCTCATTTCCACGCCCATGCTAACGAGCCGTTGGCAGCCATGGCATTTGATGCTAGTGGAACGTTGTTGATTACTGCCTGTAAATTGGGACATAATTTTCACCTGTTCCGTTTGATGGCTCATCCTTGTAGTTCATCTCTCGGAGCTGTTCATCATCTGTACACTCTACACCGTGGTGAGACAACGGCTAAAGTAAGTCACAGTCTATTTCTCATAGTGTTTTTCTTAATAAATCCTCACTGCAGGGGGTGTGGACGGCCGAATGGTTGGCACATGAGCACTGTATCATACGGTCTGTCATTGAGTCAACTGGCAGGATTTCGATTCCCCGGTTGTACGTGACAAGGAGTAGGGTCGCTTGTCCAACTTTGTGTGTTTTCTCCAGATCCTCCGGTTTCCCAAGTGAATTATTGAAATAAAATTGAACCATGCGTTAGTCCGGAAATGACCTAGTTTGTGTCGAGTGGACGTTAAACCACACCCTCTCTCTCTCTCTCTCTCTCTCTCTCAACACTGCAGGAACAGCATGTGTTGTTTGGTTGATACAGAAAACCAAGGTCCTAATTTTGTCGAAGAGTAGAAAGAAAAGCCTTATCTGGCCAAAATGTTCCTCATAGCACACAACATGATTTCAATAGAGCGTTTGGTGCACACTGATCAACAGTGAATAATTGCTAGTCCGCAACAATAACTGAGAGGGATGACATCAGTGCGGGTTAAGCACTAGGGACTGGGTATCATTCAGATTTGATGAAAAAAGGAAAGAAACTGAGCTTACCATCTATAATCTAATACACATATTAAGTTAATAGATTGCCATGCAGAAAGTGTTAAATACCATCAAGATGCATCAAAAACTGCCCAGTTTGTGCTACCGTTTAGTTTGACATCGGTTGTCTAGTTTATGAAACTAAATGGTCATAAACTGGTGACCAATATCAAAACTAAACTAAATGGTCATAAACTAGATGACCGATGTCAAAACTAAATGGTGTTTCTTAAACTAAACGGTAGCACAACTGGGCGTTATTTGATGAATCTTGATGGTATTTGATATTTTCTGCATAGCAATCTATTAACTGAATATGTGTATTAGATTATAGATGGTAAGCTCAGTTTCTTTCCTTTTTTCATCAAATCTGAATGATACCCGGTCCCTAGTGAATTAGCTTGCGATATTAACTTTTTTCCATCTCCAAATTAAATTCTAGAACATTTTTTTGAAGTATTAGAAAAAAAATAGAGGTATACCTGGATAAAAAATATTTCCTATTTAATGTAAATGACTTAAAGGCACCATTCTACCCACACCAGTTTACACTACAACACCGTTTGATATGACGTCACATATATAAGGCAAATATAAGAAGGTTTTTGCAATAGGTCTGTGAAACAGATTGTGTTTAGTGCATAAAAGTAGGATGTTCAAGAACCATTTCAAGGGGGATTGGGATGGCCTAGTGGTCTAGAATGCCGCGCTTCTTTTCAATGTCTGGTGTGAGCGTACATGTATGTGGCTTGGAAATATGGGCAGCTTCCCAATCTGGTGGGTTTACTCCGGGTACACCAGTTTCCTCCCACAGAAATCCCCCAGCGAGTGCGCTAAGGTAATACAAAAAAGAATTTTCTGCGATATCACCATCAGCGGAAGCAGACGTTAAACACACTTTTTCTTAAAATAAAAATAGCTCTGTTTTATTTGTTAGGTGGTAATTGATTGGTTATTAAAGTGGTTTGTAACCGATCGTCAACACAGATAATGGCAGGTAGTCTCTCGGAGGCTGTAAATGATAATAAGCTATCTATTAGTATTTTATGTTTTTGGAACATTGTTTCTGTATCATGGTTAGTTGTAATTATTTTTATAGGTTGTTGATATGACGTTTACTACAGATAGTCGATGGTTAGCTGTTAGTACACATAGAGGTACAACTCATGTGTTCCCTATTACACCCTACGGAGGTTAGTATATCTCAATATATCTCAGATATCATTTAAAATATAAATATCTTATACACCCTACAATATCATTTTAAACATGTATTTACAATATCATTTTAAACATGTATTTACAATATCATTTTAAACATGTATTTACAATATCATTTTAAACATGTATTTACAATATCATTTTAAACATGTATTTACAATATCATTTTAAACATGTATTTACAATATCATTTTAAACATGTATTTACAATATCATTTTAAACATGTATTTACAATATCATTTTAAACATGTATTTACAATATCATTTTAAACATGTATTTACAATATCATTTTAAACATGTATTTACAATATCATTTTAAACATGTATTTACAATATCATTTTAAACATGTATTTACAATATCATTTTAAACATGTATTTACAATATCATTTTAAACATGTATTTACAATATCATTTTAAACATGTATTTACAATATCATTTTAAACATGTATTTACAATATCATTTTAAACATGTATTTACAATATCATTTTAAACATGTATTTACAATATCATTTTAAACATGTATTTACAATATCATTTTAAACATGTATTTACAATATCATTTTAAACATGTATTTACAATATCATTTTAAACATGTATTTACAATATCATTTTAAACATGTATTTACAATATCATTTAAAACATATATATCTTATACTACAATATCATTTTGAAACGCATAAACCCTATACATACTATGGGGGGTTGGATGGCTGAATGGTTAGCACATGCACGCTGGCGGGGTTTCGATTCCCCGGTTGTACATGACAAGGAATAGGGCCCTCCGGTTTCCTCCCACTACTAAAGACCCCTACTCACAAGCGAATTATGGAAATAAAAGTTAACCATATGTTAGTCCCAAAAAGACCTAGTTTGTGTCGAGTGGATGTTTAACCCCATTTCTCTCTCTCTATACATACTACATATCATTTAAAACATGTATTACAATATCATATAAACCTTACAATATCATTTAAAACACATATACCGATTAAACTTGTACATCTTATTATAATATCATTTAAATTCAAGTGAGTGTGTTTACAGAAAAATTACTAAAAATCAGGAATTATGAGTAGGAATCGAATTGCCGTTTCACAATTATCTTATAACAATATGTTTACTATTGAAGGAAAACATATTTCTGTCCAGGAACTTTGAGGCCAAGGTGGTATATAAGTTTGGTTATAATAATGAACAAAGTCTTAGACTCTTAATTTGGTAAATCAGTTAAGTCATGAAAATGTTTAGTTGTCTGCCACACTGCTTCTTGAAACCAGTTTTATGTTATTAAAGGAACATAACTCTTGAGTCTAACAAAGAAAATCACACTGAATTTGAAGTTCATGTAAATAAACATATTTTATGCAAGAGCTATATCCGCCTATTGCAGGTCTTTCTTTAGGCCTGAAATGTTATCTAAATTATTAATTAGACATTAATTAACTTATCCAGACCAAAATCAACTATCGATGCCATTGCTAGCCTGCGATATTCAGCAGATTGGAATACATTTATTGAAAAATAATTAAAATTAAAAATGGATAATGAAAACTTTGTTTTTTATCGTACCAACTTCAGTAATGATGAAATTTTCAACATACACTATTTGCGTTATCTATTTTGTAACTATTATAGTGAGAACAGTCAACTCTTTGTGTAATCTTCCATAATGCCCCTTTAATAGACATTATCATATTTTGTTTTATTTATTAGATAACTATTTATAAACACGTCAATAAAACAATAAAAATCACATTGTACCCTGCTTATTTGATTAATATATACTTTATAAATTTTTTTTTTTAAATGACTGTTTAATTGTTTGTAAACAGGTCAAGTAAGTGTAAGAACTCACTGTCATCCCCGTGTAGTAAATCGTGTGAGTAGATTTCAGAAGAGTGCTGGTTTAGGTGACATAGATGGTGCTGCTGGTCGACGTAGCCCTGTATTATCTGGTAGTCCAGGCTCATCAGGTGAGTAGTGGGTTGATTGTACAATGAGTATGAAGAAAGAAATGGGGTTTAGCATCCACTCAACCTAAACCAAGGCTGAACACAATGCAATCTGATTAAAACACGGATCCTATTTCGTTTCGTTTTTTATAGATCAAAATTTTGTTTACTTCACTACACTAGGATTTGGAAGACTTGTTATATAATTCGCATTCTGGTTTATGTGAGGGATAAGCCAATGAAATTTTCTGTTGTCGCGAGTTCTTGGCGTGCGGTGCACTGAACTGTGGGTAGACATTCGTATGTTATGTGTAAATTTTTTCAATGCAAGTGATTTTGTAATATTTATTTTGTACAGGTCACGAACATTATCCCAGTTTGATTCGGCAGAACGCTCTAAATAACAACATGGGTAATCCCCGACTTCCACCCTATCCACATCCTAGTAACGTATATCCTCTCGCCCAGCTTAAACAGCACCTGGCCCTCCCCGCTTTAACAAGTGGTATGAGCACAACTAGTAGACAGCAGAGTCCATCTCATTCAGCAGGGGGTACAGAGAATATCTTCAATGTATCAGCATATTTTGCTCCATCAAGACATTATGTTGCCTCATCAAATTTACCTGTTGATCGTAGAGGTGAGTACAAATATGAATTATAAAATTTGTCAGTGAAAAATTGTACCTGGGGAAACATTAAAAAATCCTGTATAAAAATAAGTCAGCCATCCATAAAAAAAAAATATAGGTCTGTAAAAGTCAGTCAAAATAAGTGGGCTGTAAAATGGAGTTACTTCCCCTATACCATGTTTGTGATATGTTATTAGTCCAGCTAGAAAAAAAAAGTAATGGCAAATGTGTTATATTATATTTCCTTTATTCTTCACACCAAATGCTTGTTTTGATGTTTGAAATCAATATTTTTAATGTTTTTCAAGTGTTGGATTACACATTATGTTAAATTTTTGCAGCATTTTCAGATTTCTAGATATTCTGAATCTTTTAAAATCAACTTTTTTCATTTTCTGTTTATTTCTGAACATTCGTTGATTTCATATTAAATATTACTTATTTGATTTAACAGAAATCAAATAACAATTATCAAATAATTAATTTGAATAGCATTGAAATATTATTTGAATATTTATAAATCCCGTTATATTATTCTTCATTGCAGAAGGTAAAAAGGTTGTAGATTCATTGTTTGTGATTGGTCAGAATGGAACATTGATAGAATATTCCCTGGAACCTCATCCTAAATTAACGACAGAGAAACCGACAGATGACTCTCCCCTTGATCTCACATGTACAGGAGTTATACAGTGGCAGTTACAAAGGTACGAGGCAAAAATTTACTTTTGAATTTGAAATAAGCTTAGTGAGCTATATTGGTTAATTTCAGCATTAGATACACAACTGGAATAACACACTATTTATGGATAACAATTACTATGGTTTATTTCATGGCGACGTTTCAACAAGATTTCACAAGTTGTTATCTAGCAGTGAAATAAATCATACTAATTGTTATCCATAAATTGTGTGTTATTCGATTATATTCCAAAAACTAAATGCCATTCAAAGAATAGATATACAACTCTACTTTTCCTTTCAGAGCCAAAAATTCCCAGGAAGTTAAAACACCATTACCTAGCAACAGTCCGTTACTATTAGCAACTGATGCTGTGATGACACAGCAACCAACACTTTCACCAGGTTAGTCCAATATTTTTATCCTTTTAAAATAACATCCTTTGTTTATTTTCGATGCAATGATGGAATGAAATGGCATTTAATGTCCTACTTTTCTGCACCAACGAGGCTGATGGAGACAGGCATATAGCATGCTATGATGGGGGGGGGTGCGTGGCCGAATGGTTAACTCGAATAGTTAATGGTCATGCAGGAGCTGCGGTGGCTCAGTGAGTTAACAATGAATTGAGTTAATTTCTAGTGAATTATGTTTATATCTTATAGATGAATTATGTTTGTATTTTATAGATGAATTACGTTTGTATCTTATAGATGAATTACGTTTGTATCTTATAGATGAATTATATTTGTATTTTATAGATGAATTACGTTTGTATCTTATAAATGAATTACGTTTGTATTTTATAGATGAATTAGCCCCAGTATCTCGTCATGGATCTAAAGATAGTTTATCATCAGATCATAGTAGTACGAGTAAAGATGATCTCGATACCCAATGGTTATCACAGGTAAATCGTTCATTTTATTCAACACAACTCTAATAGTTTGGTCTGTAGGTCCTTTATTGAACCCAACTGTAGGTCTTACTATTATTAGTTTGGGGCCTCTAGGTCTATTATTGAACACAACTGTAGGTCTTACTATATATGTTTGGGTTCTATAGGTCTTGCTGTATTAGTTTGGGAGCTGTAGGTCTTACTGTATTAGTTTGGGGGCTGTAGGTCTTATTGTTTTAGTTTGGGGCCTGTAGGTCTTACTGTATTAGTTTGGGGGCTATAGGCCTTGCTATATTAGTTTGGGGGCTATAGGTCTTGGTATTAATTTTATTGAACCCAACTGTAGGCCTTAGCATATTAGTTTTGGGGCTGTAAGTGTTACTGTATTAGTTGGGGGCTGTAGGTCTTACTGTATTAGTTTTGTGCTGGAGGCCTTACTATATTACCATAGAAGGAATCAATAATAATGCATATAGGTTCCATACTATTTAAATGCACAATTGTTGACTTCTTTATTTTACAGGTTGAGATAATCACACATGTGGGACCTCATCGGAGGTTGTGGATGGGTCCACAATTCTCGTTCAAAACTATCCAAAATGCTCAGAATACGACTGTTGTGTCATCGACATCATCGTCTTTATTTTCTGGCAGTCCTGATCTCCACAGCTCACCAATGGATATGTTTGTTGATGATTGTGATCTTGAGAGTCTCAAGTACGAAATGAACGTTTTTTTTGATACACTTTACTTTCCTCCGACTGTTTAACACACCTGTATGTGATATATAAATATGTATCTTGTTCCTTGATCTCTGGGGGGGTTGGATGGCTGAATGGTTAGCGTGCGCGCGCTGTATCATAAAGTCTGTCATTGAGTCGACTGGCGTGGTTTCGAATCCCCGGTTGTACGTGGCAAGAAGTAGGGTCGCCTGTCCAACCTCGTGGGTTTTCTCCGGGTCCTCCGGTTTCCTCCCACTGCTAAAGACCCCTACGCGCAAGCGAATTATGTAAATAAAATTAAACCATATGTTAGTCCCGAAATGACCTAGTTTGTGTCGAGTGGACGTTAAACCCCATTTCTCTCTCTCTCTCCCCTTGATCTCTGTGGGGTGGGTGGATAGCCGAATGGTTAGCCTGTGCGCTCTGTATCATAAGGTCTGTCATTGAGTCAGCTGGCGTGGTTTCGATTTGCCTGTCCAACCTTGTTGGTTTTCTCCGAGTCCTCATGTTTCCTCCCACTGCAAGCGAATTATTGAAATAAAATTGAACCATATGTTAGTCCCGAAATGACCTGTCTAGTGGACTTAAACTCTCTCTCTCTCTCTCTCTCTCTCTCTCTCTCTCTCTCCAACTCTCTTACCCCATCTCTATCTCCTCATGGAGGGGTTGGCCTTTTAAATCAAGTGGCGTGGTTTCAACTAGGAGTAGGGAGCCACGGTGGCTAGGTGGTTAAGACGCTGGCTCACTAGCCTGGAGGTCGGGTGTTCGATCCCTGCATTGGCCGAGAAAGTTCATCCAGATTTTCCGGCGTGGTTCCCCCTTGTCAGTGATGCAGGACGGAGGGCCTGACAAGGACAGCTGTCTAGTCCTTCGGATGAGACGAAAAACCGAGGTCCCGTGTATACATTGGAATGCACGTAAAAGATCCCTTGGCAGTTGGAATTCGATATAAGAGTAGGCGATAGTGCCGCTGCTCGGGCAAAATTTCCCTCATAGCACACTGTATGGCGTATGCCCGTCTTCATTAGCCCAGTATAGGAGCAGAACAGTAGGACGTTAAACTCCATTTCATTTCATTTCATTTCATTTCAACTAGGAGTAGGGTTGTCTGTCCAACCTCGTGGATTTTCTCTGGCTCATCTGGTATCCTCCCACTGCAAAAAAACACTCTGCATAATCAAATTATTGAAATAAAATTGAAATGACCTAGTTTGTATCAAGTAGATGTTAAACCCAATTTCTCCATCTCTCAGTTTATGTAGACTTTGTGTATATGACAGATGTGAACAGGAGTAGGACCACATTATAAAACAGGAGTAGGACCACATTATAAAACAGTATATTAATTGTTGGATATGGGGGCCATTTAGGGCAGAGATCTATTCTCAAAGTAGATAGCTCTCTGTGTGCAGAATGAGAGTAACACTTGAAAAAATCTGAGGGTTCTACTATACTCAGCCCACACTAGGATTTGAAACATGAGACATTCTGAGCGAGATTTCACTCGACTAATATGTTCCTTTCTATTTTAGGCTTCAACCAACACGATCTAGTCCTGTTGCTATGCCAACAGCTCGTCCTGCCTATAGAAGAGCATCTGCTACAGAATATGCTCATTCACCTAATCCTCATGTTTCTCCACTACTTATTGAAGCAGGTAAATCATCAATCTTAAAATATCGACGCGTAAATCTAATTTAGAAAATATAAACGGATAAATCGAAGTTGTATGATATTGACCTTTAAATCTCATCGTAAACTATTAAGAGGAAGGAAATCAAAATTATAAAATATCGACAGGTAAATCTTAAATTATAAAATATTGCCAGGTAAATCATAAAATATCAACAGGTAATTGATAAAATTTTGACAGGTAAGTCGTAGAATATTAACAGGTAACTCTAATCGTAAAATATCGACAGGTAAATGTGAATCGAAAAAATATAATCTGCAAAATTTAAAATAATATAATCCTTACCAGTGTGAAAATAATAAAAAATTTTGACAAGAAACACATTTTTGTGACCATAACTAGATTTTTGATCTACAACCCAAATACGATTTAATCCTACAGATCACCATGAAATTAAACATACATTATGCAAGAGGTAAATCGGCCTACTGCAGGTCTTTCTTTAGGCCTTAAATGTTATATAAATGATTAATTGGACATTAATTAACTTATCCAGACCATAATCAACTCGCAATGTTATCACAAGCCTCTCTCCCTTACTGGATTAGGATCTGATTTGCTGCTCAACTTTCATTCATGATTAAATCATGAAATGGATAATCGAGACTATGTTTTTTATGTACCGACTTTAGTAATGATGATCGAGGCTAGGCCGAAAATTCAATCACTAAATTCTCAGTTCAGTGTGGATCAATTTTACTGAAATTTTCTGCAAATACCCTTTACATTATCTAGTTTTGAACTATTATAGTGAGAACTGCCAGCTCTGTATCTTCTCCTCGATAATGTATCTTTAATGCTACTTATCTTGATATTGTAGGCAGTTTCGACCAGTCACCTAATCTGAATGATGTGTTATGTGATTGGGCGGAGTCTAGTATGTCAAGACAGCCCCGTAGTAGTGAAGAAGAAGAAGATCGACTGAGAGAAACTTTAGCTGATGCGATGGTGGAATCTCCGTTAAAAGATTGTGGACCAACTAGTATTATCATGAGAGAAGGTAAAATATCACTTGTTTAATTGTGGTTAGAGAATATTTAAACACATATACTGACCAATAAATCTTAAAACCAAGCCTTGAAAACAGACCACCTATAACAGACACTCCATGCACAAATTCAGGTTTTGTCAGGCAGTAGTTTCTCTTTTTTTTTTTGAGCGTTTTTATTGATTATTTTCTTACATGTCTGAAGCAAAATTCAAAATGGCAGGTAGCAGTTAAATAATACCCGTTATTTTGTTAGATACTAGTAAAACCACTGAGTCTGTTTAGGTGTTAGAGTTGATATAGGATACAGCTGACCAAATATTTCTACGCCGTCGCCCACGAACGTAGGGCGAAAGTTATTTTTAGTTTCTGTCCCGTTCCCTTTTTCCCCCTTTTGCATGGCGATTTTTGTTGACTTTTTGATGTAGAATCGAAGAAAAGGGTTTGAAAATACATTTTCTGCCAGGTTTTGGTGAATATTCATGATTTTGAGGCGGAAGGATACAAGGGTTGAGAGGTTGGTTAGGTTGAAATGTAGGGTGGAAAATTGCATGTTTAATTGTCTCTACTTCCAGCTTGTGTGTCTCAAGTTTTTCAGGGTGAACCTCATACATGCTATTTGACAAGAGTTTGCCACATGTTGCTCCATCTGTGGTAGAAAGCATTCTACCCAACGAAAATTTTGGAAAAAGTTAGAGCCGGTCTAAGAGACAAGATGGAGAAATTATTAGTGATCTGTGGCCGTCTAACAGTTGGTTTAGGTGGCAAAGTTGTCTATCATTGGGTTTAAGTGGCAGAGTTGTCTAACAGAAGGGTTAAGTGGCAGAGTTGTCTAACAGAAGGGTTTAGGTGGCAGGTTGGTTTAACAGAGTTTGGGTGGCAGAGTAGTCTTACAGAGGGTTAAGGTGGCAATATGGTCTAACAGAGGGTTGCCTAACTAAAAGTAGCTTGTCCTGTTTCCTCCCACTGCTAAAAACCCTTGCACATATACTAACTAATATATTGAGATATGTATTAGTCTTGAAATGACCTAGTTAGAGTTTAGTGGTATTAATCTCTCTCTCTCTCTCTCTCTCTCTCTCTCTCTCTCTCTCTCTCTCTCTCTCTCTCTCTCTCTCCTCCCCTCCCCTCCCCTCCCCAGCTCTTTCACCATACAAACATGTAGTTGGGAATTTTAATAATTATGCGATATTAATTTTATTATTAACTGATGGCTTCTTGTGACATCTATAGATGTTGACAAGCTGAACGGCTGTCAGGTGTAAAATGATGTTTGAAATGTCTTTACAACGACTTTAAGAATTATTTCAACAAAAAGTCAAGATGGTCTGAGAGATAAAACCATCCATAATAATACTATTCATAATAAATACCATTCATAAAAGTGAAATTATCTTATTTCTGACCATTTACAATGTCAAGTCTTAGATGTTATATAGAAATAACCATCTATGTATGACTGTCACACCTGAGTGGGTGTGGTCATCTGATTGTTTACCTGTCGACAATTTACCTGTTGAATGTAATGATAATTACAGGTGATTTGTGTAGGTGACTTTATTCATTTTAAAAGGTAACAAGTTTCCCTACATAGAAACAGTTAATTAAGATGGTGAGAAATTGTCAGTGGTAGAGTTGTTTGAAAAGTAGCGTTCTCTAAATTTCCTTGTGTGACTCCCTGCAAATGAATATTTTTTTTGTGAATACTACACGGACAATATCGGTCTACAGTAAAAAAAAGTTCACTTGTAGCATATGTCCGTCTAAATTAACCGGGTTTGTATAGAAATGTAGGACATTAAAGGAGGCAAGTCTCTAACTCAATATCATCCACAGTCTTCGCCATTGATGTTATTACCTTACCGTGAAAAGATGGGCTTCTGATATCCAATATTTAAGACAAAATGAAAATTTTAAAATTGGCATACCCCTTTCAAGCACCATTTGTAATGAAACCACCTGATGAACACCAAAGAATACTACCGGTGTAGACTGGAATAACCAGACACCAAAGACTGCCATTCAATTTGGACTGATTAGAAATTACAGTAGAAACAGAAATGATTGAATGTAAATCAGTTTATATACATTCATATTACATTATTATATGTCTAGTCGTTCGGATTTGACGAAAAACCGAGGTTCTTCGTATACATTGGCATGCACGTAAAGTTCCCTTGGCAGTTGAAATTCGAGATAAGAGTAGGCCATAGTGCTGCTGTCCGGACAAAATTTCCCTCATAGCAAACTGTCTGGCATATGCCCGTCTTCCTTAGCCCAGTTGGAGCAGAACAGTAGGACGTTAAACCCCATTTCATTTCATTTTGCCAAAGATTTAGCTTCTTTAAATTCCATTTGATTTACTTTTATTAATGTATACAATGTAAATAGAAGTCAACTCAGTGAAGCATGTAAAAAGCGAGGACATTTTGAAGTGATTTGTAAGGTAATTAGTGTTGACGAGTTTGGTGTCGGATTGTCAATAGTAATGATTTTATTGATAATATAGAAAAAGTAAAACTGATCACCTGCTGTGATAATTTTTTGGACAGAATATGTTTGATTGTGGACATGGGTTGACCTAGTCATGTCTAGTTTAGATAGAAGGACGGGATTAACCCCTATAGAAAAGGTTTTTTTGTATTTCTAGGAATAGAAAGACTATTATTAAATGTGGTAGTTACTCTAATAAACACACACCAATAAATTATATTTGACTAAACTTGCCCCTTTCATAATTATTTAGTGAAATATTTCTTTATTTTGATGTTAAAATATGAGTTAATAATTGAATGGGGCTTAATATTTTGTGAAAACAGTAGACCCAGGGAAATTATATTTTACTACAAAGTAACAAACTCTCCTTTTTTATGTTAAATTATGAGTTATTAATTAATGGGGTTTAATATTTTGTCAAAACAATACTTCGGTTGTAGGGTCGCTTGTCCAACCTCGTGGGTTTTCTCCGGCACTCCGGTTTCCTCCTACTGCTAAAGACCCTGACGCAGTTTGTGTCGAGTGGACATTAAACCATATTTTTCTCTCATTTCCTTTACTTTTCTATCCATGAGGGTGTGTGGGGGTGGATGGCTGAATGGTTAGCATGTGCGCACTGTATCATAAAATCTGTCATTGAGTCAACTGGTGTGGTTTTAATTCCCCGTTTGTACGTGACAAGGAGTAGGGTCGCCTGTCCAACCTCATGGGTTTTCTCCGGGTCCTCTGGTTTCCTCCCACTGCTAAAGACCCCTTCGTGCAAGCTAATAATGAAAATAAAATTGAACCATGTTAGTCCCAAAATGACCAAGTGTGTGTCGAGTGGACATTAAACCCTATTATTCTCTCTAATTTCCTTTTCTATCCATGGTGTGTCGATATATCGAGTACTTTACGGTAAATATATTCCACCTAGTGGAAGAGAATGGGCAGGTCAACAACCAGTTGTACTAACGTATCCAACTAGAATAACCTTTTACCTTTTATCGACAAAACATAGAAAATATGTTGAAGATTTTATCATCTCTACAAACACCATACTGAATTATCCTGTCATATTCTCTCTCTCTGTCGCTGGCACTAATAACGAAGTGTCAAAAACTTTCATAAAACCCACTGACTTTTACCCCCTGCCTACTCTATAGTCGAGAGTTTCATTGTTATACAATCAGGAAGTTATTTATCTGTGATTAGAGTTTAAATAAAGTTAGATCTAGAAGTTTGATATTATTCACCAGGTCTCTGAAGATTTATTAAGATGTCAGAAATTATCCGACTTATTGAATAGTAATCGCTGGTTGTATAGTCGAGTTACACTCCCCCCGTTTTTCTCAGTTCATTTGTTGATACTTCTAAACTGTGAGAAGAATCTTTAATTTCTTGACCTTTTTAACCTTTTCATATTACCTTTTCTTAAAGACTTGAAAATGTTTTGGGTGGAGTCAAGTTTGGAAACGAATATTATAAAAATCAAATATTTGTACGAGGTCATGAAATGTTATAGGTTGACCCACCTTTAAGAACAAATATTTTAAAAATCAAATGTACATTTTAAAATTCTGAAACGTTATTAATTGACTCAAGTTTGAAAGGAAAAACCGAAATTGTGTTGTTTTAAGTCCTGGAACGTTATTAGATTATTGGACTTATTAAACACTCCCCCCCTCTAACTGAGAAATAAAGTGTTCGGATAAATTAAAAAAACGTTCCATTCGGTTATAAAGTATTTATAGAAATAAGAGTAGACTGTAGCGCCACTGTCCGGGGCAACATTTCACTCATACTGCCTGGTGTAGTGGCTCTTTCGTAGCCCAGATGGAGCAGAAAAACATCAAGACGTCCTCAGTTCATGAAATGAAATAAAATGTTGATCGAGCGAGAAACCATTCGCTTGAACCTTTCATTAATCTGCTATTATGACGAGTTGATGTTATTAGTAATAACGCATGTCCATGCAGGGATTATAAAACAAAATACACAATTAATGAGATCCCAGGTGATACCTGAGTTAAACATGCTGTGACAGAATATCACAAATATCATAATTAGTACAGATTATACTCTCTTAATTATTGCCCTATTCTACAAATATTAGCTCACATAATTTACATTGTATTTCTGTTCTGCTCCAGTGATAAGCTGACAACTTTCACATTTTTAAAGACCGTAGGATGTTTGTAGTTTATAAACAGTACAGATTCAAATGGAGGTGGATCTTATTGTGCTTCAGGTCCTCATTTTTAAAAACGAAATATTAAACAATGGAATAAATTAGTCAATGGTGAATTAGAACAATTTTTGATGTTGTTGATTATTACTATGTAGGCTGTTAAACCACATTTTATTTAGGTAGTGGCTATTGTTACGACGAGTCATAATAATAGTCCTCAGGCTATTGTTACGACAATGCTTTCAGAGCCCTGCATTGGCAAAGTTTAGAACAAATTCCAAAATGGCTGCCAATCTCCCCAACACCAGCTTTGAAAAAGGAGCAGTATTTTCAACGTTTTCAGAACTGAAGGCAGCAATTTAGAGATGGGAAGGGTTAGGGTTAGGACTATTTTTACGACTATTCAGTTTTTAACTTCGCCAATGGAGGGCTCTGAAAACATTGTCGTAACAATAGCCTGAGGACTATTTTTACGACTTGTCGTAACAATAGCCACTGCCTTTTATTTAACATTGGGATCTGTGATGACTCGGTGAGTAAGATATGGCCTCGCTAATCTTAAGGTCTCGTGTTCGATCCCGGTGTTGGTCAAGAAAGTTCATCAGGATTTTCTGTAGTGGTTCCCCCTTGTCACTGGTGCAGCACAGGGGGCCTGGAAAGGGACAACGTATAGTCGTTAGGATGGGACAAAAATCTGAGATCCCATGTACACATTGACGTCCATTGAAACGAACCATTGGCAGTTGGAATTCAATATAAGAGTAGGTCTCAACACTGCTTTCCGGACAAAATTTCCCTCATAACGCACTGTATCCCAACCGGAGCAGAACAGGATGTTAAACATTTAATATTGTGGGAACCTTTCTGGATAGATCCGGTGACTCGTTGCCTGCCAACATGTCTTGAAGAGAGATGAAAATGTTCAAAATAAAATAATTTGTTGTATTTTTCAGATGTTTTCCACCATGGTAGTAACGAAACATTGAGTACCAGTTCTGGATCTAGTGGCAGTAATCTACCGTCACGTGGTAACGATGACTCCGTCTTCTCCAGTGCGGTTGGAGGATCCGATCTCGTCGGATGAGGATCAAAGGTGGAAATGACAGTCTCCACATAAATCCGAGCTTGGTTGAATTGTAATAACCACATCATCAATTCCTAACAAAATCAACCTCAAGTTGGGTGACATGACTGACATGAGATTCAGTCATGTCTAGATGCCATCTTTGTTTTAGTCACTTCTCAAACTAGTGGGCTTTTTACAAAATCCAGTGTTTGGCCCACTCTTTGTAGAAAAATATTTTATTTAATTCAAATACTAAAATTTTAAAAATCTATTTTATCAGAATGAATGTATTGCAGTAATAATTTGGGTCACAGACCAATAATTACAAGATTGAATCAATTAGAATATATGTTATGCACAATTTTACTATTTTAAACTATTTTAATTCATGACATTCATTACATAATTATTAGCCATTGATATTTTATATTGCCTATAGAAGTTCAGATTTATATATGAGAAAAAGGTTGAAATATGCATACCATAGTCCACCATACTTGATACCACTTTGCATTTGAATAGTTCACATAGTATGTTTACTATTCTAGAAAACCTGATACCACTTCTCTTTGAATAGTTCCAAAGTATGTTTACCATTTGAATAATTCATATAGTATGTTTACCATTTGAATAATTCACATAGTATGTTTACCATTTGAATAGTTCACATAGTTTGCTTACCGTTTGAATAGTTCACACTGTATGTTTACCATTTGAATAGTTCACATAGTATTTTTAACATTTGAATAGGTCACATAGTATGTTTACCATTTGAATAGTTCACATAGTATGCTTACTCTTTCTTGAACACTTGGTACCACTTCATATAGCAGGATTACCCTTAATAGAACACCTCATACCACTTCTCATTTGAGAGTTCTTAAAGCATGGTTACCCTTAGAACACCTGATGCTACTTCTCTTTCGAAGAGTTCACATAGTATTGCTTACTCTTTCAAAGAGTTCACATTATTAACAAAGTTATGTGTCTTGTACATAATAATATGTGAAAAAAAATATTAATAGGGTTAGGTATTTGTCTTGAACGTAATGACAACAAAATATGTAAAAATGACAAAATATTTGCAAGAAATAAATCTGGTATGTGTTCTTTCTTAAAGATACATTATGGGAGATTATATAACGAGTTGGCAGTTCTCACTATAATAGTTAAAACTAGATAATGTAAAGGCAATTTGCTGAAAATTTCAGTCAAATTGATTCATTATGAACCAAGAAATAAGCGAACGAAAGTTCTGCATAGCCTCGGTCATCATTACTAAAGTCGGTACGACAAAAATCATAGTCTCGATTATCCATTTAATCGTTAAATCGAGAAGGAAAGTTATGCAGCAAATCAGATCATAATCCAACAATTATCGCAGACTAGCGTTGACATCGAGAGTTGATTATGGTCTGGATATGTTAATGAATGTCTAATTAATAATTTAGATAACATTTCAGGCCTAAAGAAAGACCTACAATAGGCAGATTTAGCTCTTGCATAATGTATGTTTAAATAAATACAACAAAAATTTATTTCATTGTTTATTAGTTGATTGTAACTATAACATTGAATTTTATACTGATAATCTGCAATGTTGGGTTTCCATTGTCAAATTTAACCAGAAACTAGGTAATGTTCATATTCTTAGGAAGATGCTTTAAAAAGAAATTCTTAGGCTCAGCCAATTCAATAAAATTAGAAATCTATGAGTGGCCAATTCAAGTTACAATCCATATGAAACTTTAGACAATTGCGCCTCGGTTGACACACTTCGCAATTTGATATCATAGAAACATATTTATGTATTTTTGATATAACATAACATTTCCAATATTTGCTGCTATGACGTCATGGTCCGTTCCATGTCCTTGTTTATCAAAAAGTTAATCTGGATAAAGTTGGTGATGTAAATCTATGGAAACATTTAGGCGACTTCCAACTTCAGTGTTTAATTCAATAGTTACCCAGCATGCTTCCCATAATATATGGAGCGCTAACTACTATGTTAAATATGTTATGGCCAATTCCGGAGGACATTAGGCTAATTGTGAATACCATTTCCATATGAAAAATTCATCTACCCTAATTCTTATTGTGTCTAATTGTGGTAGGAATTTTATGAACTTACCATCCAGCCAGAAAATAGACTTAGACCAACAGAAAGGTCATGGTCATTATTCTATATTGAATTTATTTATTAAGAAGTTGAACAAACATAAACTTACCTATTATTTTGATTGTATATAGATTTCAATTTGTTTTTCAATTTTACTTATATTCTTAAAATGTATATAAATATGTATAATGTTTTATTATGTCATTACATTGCCTGGCAACCTATATTCTATTTTCTTGTTATAATGTCATTTCTCTGTCTGTTTTTCAAACTGCCTATTTCTTAGTCTCATCTCATGGGGTATTTTCAAAATGGCACACCCAGACTAAAAAGAACAGACAAAACCAAACCAAAAATATTTTTTTTGTAAATTAAATTTCAATGAAATAATAAGCTGATTCTTTTGTCTAATTTTTCTTATTTATGTTATAAAGTCATTTGAGGGATTTTGTGAAAGCTGAATCTCGTAAGGAAATGCCAGTCCAAATGTGGCTCAATTCCATTCATTATTTAGAAAGATGTAATGAATTTAAATTCTGTCAACATTCGACGTCCACTGTAGACGATATAAACGGGTGATTGTCAAATTAAATGTTAAACAGGCATTATGTAAGATTTAGATAAAGAGCAGTATTTCTTAAAATTTCGATTGTTCGATTGTATCTTAGTTTAAGTTTTCGTGAATAAGGGCCCTGGCCATTCTCGCTATAATATTTCATTCAAATTACGTTATTTTGAGCAAAGTAATCAGTGGTCGTAGTTTTGACAAGCTGTGTGTATTTTGGCCGTACTGGTCATTCGAGTCTAGCCTCGTTTCTCCATTTTTAAATTAAATCATTAAATGGCCGTCCCGTTCTAATCAACTTAAAATCGGAGCCGTCCGATGGCATCGAGAGTTGATTCCTGCAGTAGGCAGATTTAGCGGTTACATAATGCCTGTTTAAATAACGAATATGAGTATATTTTAGCGTAGGCGTAGTATATATTTCCTATTTTCCGAAAATACAAATGCTGCACAGAGATATTGTTGTAGGCCGTTTAATGAATGGAGTTCGCACACAGTTTTAAAATGTATTTTATGTTTGAAATGCGCTTCCATTTTGTGTTTTAATACAACATTTAAATTATTTAACACAAATTACTGGATTTATTACATGCAACGTTTGGCCGAGGATGCTATCATCCTTATCAACCATTTGCTTGATAAAGACGAGAGTATCCTCTTCGAAATTGCTTGCTAAAGACGGGGTATCCATGTCGAAACGTTGCATAGTAAGAAATTGCGTAATTGTGTTTTCATAAAAAGTGTAGGCTGAACATAGATGACTTTATACGCACAACGGTATCATACCGTGGACATTATAAGGTCCATGGTCATACAAGACACACTATCAAATCTTTTGGTATCGACTATCTTGGAAATAACGTTACCCGTTATATTTACTACTCGAAAACTCGAGTTTCAAAATAACTTTAGAGCTTCAAAATTGAAACTAAGTTTCGAGCTTCAAGATTCGAAATGTTGTTTCTAGCTTCAAGATTCGAAATATTGGTAAATGTACTGTACTCCATACACGGTGCGTGTTGGCGCATGCACTGTAGTGTAAATGTCTTGTTCAGTGCGTGTTGGTATATCTATGACAATAACCTGCTCTATTGGGTGCGTGTTAGTATATGTATATGACCTGTCTCGTTTAATGCGTGTTGGTATATGTACTGCAATGACCTGCCCCGTTTGATGCGTGTTGCTATATGTACTGTAATGACCTGCCCCGTTATACCCCGCAGAACGACCGACACCTCGTTACGGTAAAATGACACTTTTATTATTATGATGCCTATGTGTGATGAAGACGGCGATGATTATGGTGACCGTGGCATTCATAGGATGTCCAGTTACATTTGAAACCTGTCGGAACAGTGCGCGGTATTGGAATAGGCAATAATCGGACCAGTATTTCGTCGGAATAATAACCAACATGATCTTGCTTTTTTAGGATAATTTTTCTTGTACGGTAGATCTAAGCCTGCCTTTTGATATTATATTTGAAATAAAAACGGTTGTTTAATTATTATTATTCAAATTTAATAAAATCCTGTGATACACATATTTTCTAGTTATTCTGTGTTATAATCCCCGATTGTACGTGACCAGGAGTAGGGTCGCCTATACAACCTCGGGGGTTTTCTCCGGTTTCCACCCACTACTAAAGACACGCGCTAGAAAATTATGGAAATAAAATTGAACCATATGTTAGTCCCAAAATGTCCTAGTTTGCGTCGAGAGGACGTTAAACACACACTCTCTCTCTCTCTCTCTCTCTCTCTCTCTCTCTCGGTATTTACAAAAATATGAATAATTTGTGAGGAATATAATTGTAACAACCTTTCAAATCTGGATACAAGCACTAAATTGTTTGTAGGCCCTATCGGTGTCTGTTTAAGATGTAATACGTAAGATTTAGACAAAGACCTGGACTTTCATGCTATAATAGTTAAAAAAAATGTTAAATCCAAAATGAATATACTGAAAATTTCATTCAAATTGCTTTATTCTGATCGAATTTATCACTGTTTGTAGCTTTAACGGTACTTGTTATTCGAGACATAGCCTCGCTCCGCCATTGTTCAATTGAATTAAATTATTCCGTTTAAATGTCCGCCATCTGATGGTCTGAGAGTTGATCACAGGCTTGCCAAATGAATAAGTGTGTAAATAATAGTTTATATAACATTTGAAGCCAAAATAGGAAGATTTAGCTCTTACATAATGCATCCTTAAGATAATCCTGTTAGCCATTTGCATTTCCAATATGGCCGTCATTTTCCAAGATGTCTGCCATTTTCTTTCCCGGTATTTCACCCACTAGACCAGTGATTCTCAACCACAGTTGTGCCGCGAGATCTTCCTAAGTGTGCCGCGAAATTTCGAACGGCACACCAAGAAAATGTGCAAAACCACGTGATCCCAATTGAGTATTCACTGGTGTCTACTGATAAGTTCATAGCTGTGTTTTTCTTTATTTAGTTTGAGTCATTCTTTGTTTCTATGACTAGTCTCTGTGTACGGTTGAATTCCGTCTGACTTACCATGTTTTTATTTTGCAAAATTCAGGTGTGCTGCAATTAGCCAGATGTGCCGCTATTTTTTTCATGTGTTCGAATGGGTGCCGTTGGCAAAAAAAGGTTGAGAACCACTGCACTAGACCGATGGAGAGGATTTTGATATGTATTCTTTTGTTTTTGATACTTGAATCAACATTTGACCGATTTCTCTTATATTAAAATTATGCAGTTATCTGCTGCAATGAATTGTATCCAACATCTGATGCCAGATATAAAGTGATAAAAGTGTATTTAAATATGTACAGGTCGCGGTGGACACGTGGGTGGTATACCTATATACTAGAATATAGATACACATAAGTATTTATCAAGTAGGAGACCAGTGAGAAGTTTATTGCCTATTAATAAACTTATATCACGTTTTGAAGTACCACAGGGACACTTTGTTAATAGTCACCGTCTTCCAGTCTTTTAGAAATTTGTTCATAAACACACCATGAACAAAGTCTGTGATGTGCAGCATTAACCAGGCCGAGTGTAAAGTATGCCACCTTTGAACGGCTGTAATACGATACATTTAGGCGAACACCTTATTAATTTCTTTTACAAAATTATAATATCCACTTAACAACTTATCTAGGATGTATGAGGTATTTGTTTATTGGTTCGATGTATAGAGAAAAATTGTTAATTATCTCCCCTTTGTCATAACCCACACATTAAATATCACACCCCACGTGGTTTAGTCTCCCACAAATATAAGTATAAAGTTTATAACGAGTCATAAAAATATACAGGTATTTATAATCTATACCTGACTCACCGATGTATTGTTACCTTGACAGAGATGCGGTGGCAAAGTGAATAAAACGTTGTTTAGCTATATTGGAGTCTAAAAGGAGGCCCCGTGTCCGATCCCAGCATTGGTCGAAAGAGTTCATCGGGATTTCCCGGCGTGGTCCCCCTTTTCAGTGGTGGAGGACGGAGGGCCTGGCAAAGGACAACGGATGGGACGAAAATCCGATGTGTACGTAAAAGAACTCAAATTTCCTCCATTCTGATTGTCTTAAAGTATGGCCGGATGGACAATAAACTACCTTTGTTCTAGCAAGGCGAATAAACCCGTATAAATATTGCAGTGCACTTTTTTTCATTTTCGTGCTCAATGGTCTTCCTCATCTCAAGTCTTTATTCACAAATATCATCAAACGATTTTGCTTAAATGACCATCACACCATTTCAAACTTCATTTTATATCCGCCTGCAATAGACAAAATAGTAGAACATATGCCATAAATTGGTTAAAACCATTTTCAGGTATCCTAAATTACCCATGACTCAATCTGATTAAATTACAGATCTATGTTTCATTTCGTTTTTTTTATACTTTCGATGGCCTACACTACATTACATGAAGATCTGACCGGTTCTAGTGGAAGTCGCGTCAGGGGTCGTACCAGTTACTTTTGACCTATGACGTCAGACATTGATTAATCAATCAGTGTTGACGTTTCTAGTGGTTTCCCCACAGTTCCGTACATCGCAAACCCAGAACTCGCCGTAACAGACCGTTTCATTGGCTAATCCCTCACTTCAACAAGAAGGCGTGTTATATAACAACTCTTCCAGATACTAGTGTTGTGGAGATAAGTAAATCGAAATTTTGAACTATAAAAACGAAACGAAATAGGATCTGTGTTTTAATCAGATTGCTCGTAACTAGGCATTCTGGACAATTTTGTTTTCTTTTTGGTGCAATTTTTCCTAAAAGTGGAATTATCAATCCAATTTTGATCAAATTCCGACTACCACTTACCTAATAATGATTAATTAATCACAAGGAATCGTTTGATCAAATGAAAATAATCAATGCAGGTAAATTTTAGCGTTGATTAAGTCATGACATAATATATATATATTGTCCCAAAAATGCAAATGACGATCAGCAGCTAAGTTTACTCATTCAACCCTGGCGAGCTGCGGAGAAGATCCCGTGTTCTGGGGTCAAAATGTCACTTCCGACACAATGATTGCTCTGCAGAAAGACACTTTACACCCGATATTCATCCGCTGTAATATCATCAGTATTACCACAAACTGCTATGAAATTGCAAATCTGACCCCCTTTCTCCAATTCTAGACCGAAATGTCAAACAGAAAAATGCAGAAAAAGGGGAGAAAAAAATTAGGGAAAAATTGTCTGTTTATAAAATGAAATAAGGTTTAACGTCCTACTGTTCTGCTCCTATGCTGGGCTAATGGAGACGGGCATACGCCATACAGTGTGCTATGAGGGAAATTTTGCCCGGGCAGCGGCACTATCGCCTACTCTTATATCGAATTCCAACTGCCAAGGGATCTTTTACGTGCATTCCAATGTATACACGGGACCTCGGTTTTTCGTCTCATCCGAAGGACTAGACAGCTATCCTTGTCAGGCCCTCGGTCCTGCATCACTGACAAGGGGGAACCACGCCGGAAAATCTGGATGAACTTTCTCGGCCAATGCAAGGATCGAACACCCGACCTCCAGGCTAGCGAGCCAGCGTCTTACCCACTTAGCCACATGATCCCCGTCTATTTATAACACGCACTACATTCGTCCCATCATGAAATAGTAGGAAATAATTACTAGTCTTAGTCCAAATGTAAATAGCGGATGACCTGGCGCTGCACGGGGGGGAAGTAGTATAACTCCGAAACCGGAAGCGGTAGTCCAACGCCCCTAAGACTATGTTACCAACCCTGAACAGACAGACAGACAGACAGACAAACAAACGGCAGTCGTAAATATTAGTATGATAACTATTATTAGAATGAATTTGGAAACATTGTAGCGTTGAAAAATGATATTTTGCCCGAAACAAAATATTGAAAATGGCGATCAATGGACCCAAAATTCTTCTTCTTCCTCGTTTACACTAATTTAAAATATAAAAATGACGCGAATTCCTGCTTCTTCTTCATTCACACTAGTTTAATTTTAAAAAAAAAACCCCAAACACAATGCGTATAAATGACCCGAATTCCTACCTCATTCTCGTTCACACCAGTTTAAAAGTCAAACAAAAAATAAATAGTTTAAATGTATAAGGTTTGTATTATCACGGTCTCTAGACAGACAGACAGACCAACTAGTTGATAAAAAAAAGAGATACGATCTCGATTGGATTATTAACATCTACCCTCGACCACCAATAACTAGAGATAACCTGACGCCACCAACCAAAAAACATGGGAAATATCATTCATATGTGACGATCATACCATGGTTTTTGTGAGAGAGAACCAATTATATATAGTTAGTTATTCCGTAGTTTTGTATCCATGGTAAATTTATATCATGAGAAATATCGCTCAAGTGTGATCTTCGTGTTTTGTGAGGGAACCTATTATTATTATTGTGCCGTGATTTGGATTCACAACGGCTTTATTTCGAGTGTGGTGTGAATTTTATCGTTGTTGGTATTATCACATGGCGGGTTCACAGTTCCGGAAGAAGGATTTTCTTTAAATAAAAAAATATAGTATAGAGTCGATAATTTTAATTCGTTTTTCGTTTTATATCCATTTTTAGCAATATATTTATAAAGTAAAATCTATAAAACGGAAACGAAATAAAAATTTATATTTCAATGAGGCTGGAGAGATACGAAAGATACACAAATCAAAGATTCGGTGATATTTTTTTTTTATTAAATTGTAAATTAGGCTGGCTACATGAGGGGTGGAACGATTATCGACTGGATTACTTGCTCTAAATGACACCAGGGCGCTAGTATGACGTATTTGAGTAGGCTATGCAGTCTAGTGATATCCGATGTTCTAGAAATGATAACTTCAGCAATTTGTGCAAATTTTAGTATCTAGATTAGTATCAATTGGTGAATTTGAGCGGAAGGCAAGTGGTTATAATCTTAAATCACTTATGGTTGGTCCCGCGGTTTCTCCTTGTCAGTGGTGCAGGGGGGAAGGCGTGGCAAAGACAGTGTCTAGTCATTCAGATGGGACGAAAACCCGAGGTACAGTGTATACATTGGCA